TTGCTGCTTCTGATAATGAGAAGAATTTTATTGAGATTATCCTAACAAGGTTGTTGGTCAGGCCTGATGCTGCATCTCTGTTTTCTGATGTGATTCACCTTTTTGGCCGGTCTCTTGAAGATTCGATGTTGTTGCAAGCCAAATGGTTTCTAGGAGGTCAAGATGTTCTATTTGGAAGGAAATCGATTAGACAGAGGCTAACTAATATTGCTGAGAGCAAAGGCCTATCAACTAAGGCCATGTTTTGGAAGCCTTGGGGTTGGTGCATTTCTGGCTTGGATTCTTCCTATCTTGAAGAAGGAGAGGTTGTCGAAGAAGGCACAGATTCTAGAAAGTATAGCCAAAAGTCTGTCCAAAGGCTTGACAATGAAATCTTGCATTCTAGTCAGCAGCATGTGACTGAGAGGGGTCTTATTGAATTAGTTCTTCCATGCATAGATCAGAGTTCTGATGAGTCACGCAACACCTTTGCTAATGATTTAATCAAGCAGTTGAATAATATTGAGCAACAAATAAATGCAGTGACTTCAGGGTCAAGTAAACAAACAGGACCTGTTCCCTCAGGGATTGAGGGCCCTACAAGCAAAGGAAGTAGTCGCAAAATGAAAGGTGGCAGTCCTGGATTAGCTAGACGATCAACAGGCTCAACAGATTCTCCTATACCCTCTCCTGCAGCTTTGCGAGCATCAATGTCGTTGCGCTTACAATTAATATTGAGATTACTTCCTGTCATCCTCGAAGATAGGTAATTTTAGAATTTGTGTGTATATATTTTCTCCATCCATTTGTTTCCAAGAGGAGGTTGGCTTATGAGAACGTAATGTTGCTCATTTGCACTCCTTAATATATTTGATAGTTTTATTCTCTCTTGCTGCCGGATTTGTCAATATTGGATATCATTCGCATTTCTCAACCTATAGATTTGAAATTTTTTATATGCATGCTTTCTCGTCTGTTCTTCATGGTTTACTAGAGCCTGCAGCCTTGATTGCATTCCGACTTTTCCAGTGGCCAAGTAACACTTTAGTTTTTTTGTTTTTTGTTTTCCTTTTCCAGGGAGCCATCGGGACGGAACATGAGGCATATGCTTGCTTCTGTAATCCTTCGTCTTCTTGGCAATCGAATAGTTCATGAGGATGCAAACCTTACCTTTTGTCCCGCCCATAGTTCGATGGTAAAGAAGGAAGTAGAGTCACCTTCCGAAGCTTCATTTGCTATATTTGCAGATTTGCCCTGTGAAAGTCTTTTTGGTAGGATGTTATTGATTCTACATGGGCTTTTGAGTAGTTGCCAGCCAAGTTGGCTAGGTTTGAAGACTGCTTCAAAGTCGTTCGATGAATCAAGCAGGGAATCTACTGCGCTTGTTCGTGAACTGTCTGAAAGTTTACAGGTTAGTCCTTATGTGTAACCTTATTCTCCACATTTCCACAAATAAGTTTTGGCCCCCACGACACACACACATGCACAGCGAAGAAGAACGGGTGACAGGTGGAGATAAAGTATTTATACAATAGACTCTTCAAATTGTACAATGTTTATAGCCTAATTTCTTTTAAAATCCACTATAGCGAAATAATCGGTTGTTTTCTCTTCCAATCTCTTTAATATTTCTATTAGACGTGGGTTCAAATATTTGTTTTGGTCGCAATGTGAAAATATTGTCAGGTTAGTAGGTTGTTGTACCACCATGTTAGATCAATTTTTTGACCATTGAAAACTGAAAAGGAACATGGACCACCGACATATTTCTATTTGAAGTACCTCTTCATTCTGTTTCTGATGAGAGGGAAATATAGTATGACGTCATAGTTGTCTACTGCTCCATAATACTGATAACTTGCATCTGTTGTTTCAAATATATCACTAGATGTGCATACACAATGATGTATCTTGCTATTGGTCAAATGGCATGTTGATAAATTATTGACAACAGTGTGCAAACCCCAATCTTGTTGGATTGCAAGAAAGAGAGCAGTACGCAGCCTGTGCCACAGCAAAATATTACTGGAGATGCTTTTCATTTCACTCACTTGTTAAAGTACTTGAAGAAAATCTAATGCCGTACTTATATTTTGAATTAATTTGTTGACACAGAATGAATTGGACTGCATGCAACTACCTGATATGATTAGATGGCGCATCCAAGCTGCAATGCCAATTCCACTTCCTTCTGGGCGGTGCTTTTTATCTTACCAGCCTCCAACAATACCTCATTCTGCACTTTCTTCATTTCAACACAGCATTTCCACACCTGGGCTTGGTTCTGGAAATCTAAGCATGCCTCAAGGGAGCAAGATATCATCACCAAGAGTTTTGCCCAACGCGCCCGGGAAGTCAAAACCTTTGCCACCACAGCAGCAGGATCATGATACAGAAATTGACCCTTGGTTGCTTCTAGAAGATGGTGCTGGATCAAGTCAATCTTCCAGCAATGCTGCTGCAATTGGTGGTGGAGAACATGCAAATTTCCGAGCATCTTACTGGCTTAAAGGGGCCGTGCGGGTGAGACGGACAGATATGACATATATTGGTGCGATGGATGATGACAGCTGATCTTTTATTTACTGATCTTTTTATTTTATCTGGAGCTAGCAATCCCCTCAGCAGGTAAATTCTCGCTTCCTTTTATTGCCCATACAAATGGCATCAAGATGATAATCTTGTGCTCATTTGAAGATCAAAAAGAGATATGTTGAGATGGGGAAATTTTTTTTATGGGGCGTGGGGGCATCGTGGAAGGTAATTTGAAAAATGATGTTCCCACACCATCCATCCTACAGGGTGTCGGCCTAGCTTGGATTCTAACCCTTCAATTGTCCTCCATTCAGAACCGCACGGTGCGGTTCGGAGGCTTGTTGTATATATAGAGATAATTGTTTCACTTCACTGATTTATCCAAATGAAAAAAAAAATCATAATATGATCTGTTAGTTGCCATGCCCATTACTCTCCCTCTCTCCAGATAAGCTCTGCAGCTGTTTATTTTGTAGAGTTATGTTTGTACTTCACATTTCTAGCATTTTGTGAACTAGACACACATTCTTTACTTGGTTATCTTAACTGTTGGAATTGGGAGATAGTTCCTACTTTTTTATGTTTGTTTCTCGAGGCAGATGAGTAGTAGCGCCACCCCCCAGGCTTTTGACGATGTTTTTTCAGTTTGCATTTATTCATCTGCATTACTGTTGAGTTCTTGAGGCCTTAGATATCAAAATTCAATCAGGAAGTTGCAGTTTGGCGTATGCGCTCGATTCTGTGTACATGTATATGTATTTATAGGCAGTAGGCTCATTTTGACCAATTGTTGTTCAGTGAACTTTAGAGAAACTATCGTTTAGATTATTAGATATCATCTCCCAATTCCCTTTTAATGAATTGCTGAAACATTGTTCTCATCACTTGGTTGACTGCTGGCTGCTAGTAAGATGATCTTTGGGTATTTTCGTCTTTGAAATCTATAAATATAAATTCTAATAATGGAGAAATAAAAATGTCACCATTTTAGCTATGAAATGTGCAAGATTATGATAGCCTAGTCTTTTTGTATATTTTGCTTCATAAATAACTATTTTGTTTTTAGCTTTGATCTCATTGCTTGTTTACATACCAATCTTACACTTTTTGTTCCAAAAAACATTATTGGCTGTATATATCATATGAAAGGGTGAACGATAAATATTTAGCTTAAAACTTTATTATATGAAATAGGGAATGTGGCAAAGAATGGTTCATCAAATTGATCAAAACATGATTAAATGGTTGCACTTTTTTATCTTTTATTTTATGATTGAATAATTGATCTAAGGAATAATAACAAGTGCTTCAGATTGGTAAATGTATAGAAATTGATTTAATACTTGCTCTAGTTTTCTGTAAGCACTGATTTTAACTTCCTCTAATCTGTAATATAATATTCTAAAATACATTATTTTATACAGACACAAGCGTAATGATACTTGTAATGATACAATATTATTGAGTTTAAATGTAAATGTCGAGTTGTTAAAAATGTCAAGGATATTTATAAAAAATTAAAAAATTCATAACAAATATTTAAAATAAACAAATAAATATATTGACATTTTTAAATTTATTAAAAATTATCAGTATTAATATTATGTTCTTATCAGTGATATCTTTCATATTTTGTCGATTTTTTTCTGCAATACTACGTAAATATAACCCAGAGACGGTATAAATATTGACTGAAATTTAAACTCCGAATCTAGCTTCAACAGTAGCACATAACTACTAATAAAACAAATTTACGACACCTATTGGATTCAATATGATGTATTAAGCGCCTGATCGGTTACATAATAAATGAAAAGAAAAATCTGTTCTCAAAAAAAAAAAAAAAAGGAGCAGAGGAGGGAAAATGATTTTCCAGTACATAATCATGATTTCACTGCTTCTTCCGTTCACTGGGAGAATTCTTGTGGCCAATGAGGTATAAGAACTTCAACCATATAATCCTCCACAGGCTCATAACATTGCTACAGATTGATTGTCTTGGCTGCTTCTCATCTGAAATGCACTCTCTTGCCTCCATTACTACCATTTCTTCCTGAAAAAGGTGAAGAGATTAGCAAGAGTTAACCATTCCATTGAAATGGATTAAAGCAAATTTTCTATATGCATCTTACCTTGGGGAAGAACTTAAATCCTATCTTTATTTCTCCTTTGTATCTGTCGTCTTCGAGCACCACATTGTACGGAGCTGGTCTAACTTCGATGAATCCTCTTTCGTATCCCTCTGAAATTATCCCACCAAGATGAATTCTGCCATGATTGTATTGAGCATGTAGAACATCACAAAAATAATTTATAGGGAAGTTTTATTAGAAGAAGGAAGCAAAGGTTTGGAATTTTTGCTGAGAGAAGAAGATTCGTACACGGTTTCACCAACAGGTTCATTGTTCAGGAGCTGTGTTTCAATAATTCTGAATTTGATATGAGTTATGTTCTTCCAATCGGATGAAGGGAGTTCAAATGTAAATTTCTCATTCCACCAAGGATTTTCATGTTTACCTATGTCCACAGAACATAATGAGGGCCTAGAACATGAAAAGCATATGGAAATTACCATAGGAGAAAAGGGAAAAGAGGAGTCAACCTGATGATACTTTGGTTCTATGTTCAAGAGTTCCGCACTCTACTGTCACATAATATGCCGGGGAACCTAAAACATCAATATATATTTTCATACTAACAAGCTCTACATTGACATCAGAAAGAGAAAGGGAGATCTCGAATTTGAACGAGAAAAATCCGAGTGAAAAGGCCAAAGCAGTTCTCTCCCCAAAACAGGAAAACAGAACAAACATGACATACAAATAAAATTTGCTTCAAGTGAATAACAAGCCTATAACAGAAGAGAGTACCAAATAAATTGGTGTGTTTGATGTCTTTGGCATTGACAAGAAGCACTTCAAGGATTCCGCCGCCCTTCATGAATTATGTATGGATAGCTTGAACCTTCTTCAAAGGCCAAAGATGTTTTTAACTGATAGTTTTATAAGTTGTTCTGATCCTCTTCTATATCCTCCAGTGTTTTTCATCCGCCATAAATAGATAGGTTATGGTATGGTGATGTTTCAAGTAAATAGAAACTACCAAGACCATAAATTCCATCCAAATTCAATACAAACTCAGAACGTTTAATGAAATTCAATGATCATCAATAACATGCATATGTTGAAGTTACTAATCAGCTGTGTATGAGTTACCTGACAAATTTGCCTGCATCCATCAGTTTTCCAGTTAGATTCAGTCCAATGTGTGTGATATTTTCTCAGAACATGGCAGACTTCGTAATTCAGATTCCGATCTGAAAGAAATAATTGCTTTAGATTTGGGTGTGAATAAAGTTCACAACTGAAGGGGAAAAGTTAGACAGAGGGTGAAATGATATGTCGAGCTTTCATAAGCAGGTATCAAAATCAAGACCAACATACTTGTACATTTGTGATTCTGAATTCTACTCATATTCCCATTTCTTGGCATGAGCTGAATAAGAGGGAAATAACTGGTCTACAGCACAAAGTAGAAAATGTAACTTCTCCCTGATGAAATTTGACCTGATCTTGTTATTACGTTTTCATTGATCCCTTCTCATTTATCAGTTTTCTCACCCGGTCTGCATCTTCCCATCTGCCTTCCTCGGCACAGAAGTCGAGCAACATTGCATAAAAGTTAGAATTGTTTGGTTCCATAGCGGTGAGCTGTTCGACAATAGAATCTACAATGTCAGGGAACCCATGAGTTAATTTACAACCAGTAAAAAGAGCACCCCAGATCCTTGTATCAGGTTCAACTGGCATTTTCTTCACAAATTCAACAGCTTCTCTAATTTTTCCTTGCCTAACGAGCAAGTCCACCATACAAGCATAATGTGCCACCGTTGGTGTAATGTTATACTTGTCTATCATTGAACGAAACCAAACCCAGCCTTCCTTTTCTATTCCACACTGAGCACAAGCAGATAAAAGAGAAACGAAGAGCACCCCGTTGGGCTTCAAACCACAGCTTAACATGTCTGAAAATGTATCGAGTGCCTCATTCCCACAACCATTCATTCCATACCCTTTAATCATTGTGCTCCAACAAATTAAATCTTTCGTCGAAATCTCGTCAAAAACATGTTTCCCTTGCTTTATCCTTCCAAGTGTGCAGTAAAGATCAACAAAAGCTGACATCAAATGTGTATTAGATGAGCACCCAGATTTCATTATATGAGCATGTATACTTTCTCCCAGCTCCTGAGCACCCAATGAAGAACAAGCATTCACTAGACTTACAAAAGTTATCTCATTAGGCTTTTCGTTAGTTGATTGCATCATTTTAAATGTTTGAATGGCATTAAGTGGATCCTCACCGTGAGAGTATGCCGAGATCATTGCGCTCCAGGCAATGATATCTTTGTCAACAAGCTCGTCAAATATAAGTTTCGCCAACCCCAAATGACCAAATTTAGCATACATTTGGAGAATTTCAGTTCCAACTGCAATAAAACAGAGAAAACCACCTTTAAGTGCATAACAATGAACAGCCAAGCCAAGTAAAAGTTCTTCAACCAGTAGTACCGCAGCTATAATGGCCAGCATCATTGTTTTGCCTAATTCGAATCCAAAAGATCGCATCCTTGAAAAAATTTTAAACGCTTTACTCGGACAATTGTTTTGGATACACGCATTAGTCACAGTTCTCCAGGATACCATGTCCTTTTTCCTCATCATCTTCAAAACTCTAATTGATGCCTCAAGATTTCTACATTTTGAATACATATCCATGAGTGAATTCTGAATGTTAACCAGAGAATAAAAATCCCTTCTCATTGAAAACCCATGAATCTCTTTACCCAAAGATATAACCCCAGAATCAGCACAAGCTGGTAGAACGCTTACAATACTTACATGGTTTGGTTGAACACCCTGATATTGCATCTCTCTGAAAAGATCCAATGCTTCAATAAACTGACCATTCTTCACGCATGCGGAGATCATGGCACTCCACAGAACAATGTCCTTATAAGGTATCTGATAGAACAACTTCCAGACTGTTCCAATATCACGATTTGAATAAAACCCAAGAAGAGCTGTTGAAACTGCCACTTCTGACTCAAAACCCATTTTGATCACTCCTCCATGAACCACCTCGTTCATAGATTCCCAGCTTAATGCGTCAATAGCTCTTATTACGCTCAGCATTGTCACATGATTTGGCCTGTGCCCATTTGCGAACATCGTCTTGAAGAAGCCAAAAGCAGCTTCTGACTGACCCGTTCTTACCAAATTGGTGATTTTAGATGTCCAAGATATTACGTCTTCTCGTTGAGCATAAAATCCAACTGGGTCTTCGTAATACGCTTGTTTTTTGTTGCTTGAAGTAGCCTCGACCATAGGGTCTATCATATAATTTTTTCTTTGAGGACTTTTGACAAACAGGTTGCGTGCACATCTCGAAAAGCACAACATGTATCAGAGGGGAAGAAGGATAGGTTCAAGATGTCTGCTTTTATAGTAAAAATTCTTGCTCGCTGAATGAAATGCAAGGCAGAGGAGTCTCAATCAAAGAGTGAGAACAAGAAGAGGGGAGACTCGGATCGCCTTCGTACAATTCCGGCAACTTCTCTAAAATTTGAAAACAAACCGAATTAATGAGAAAAAAGGGTTTATTTATAATCAATTAATTAATATATATTTATTCACACCAAGTTTAGTTAATTCATTTTCATTTAGGCAATTCATTCCTTCATATATCATAATTATAAAGGAGTAAGTGATGCAATTTTACTATATAATGAATTTTTTCTAATTCATTTATAAATATTGTTGAGGGAGAAATCCGAGCTGGGTAGAGCGTTAGGGGTGACAGTGAGGCGAGGGACCACATACGATTGACAATGTATACACATGTATACGAACGTGTTACCATCAGTTGTACGAGTAGAGTGACGAGGTTACCAGCTTGAAGCCTGCGGCTGCAGGGGACAAACCGGCAGATGGAGTTGTCACCCACTGATTCTCAGAGATGTCCACATTTCACCGACAAAACCACGTATAGCTCGACGTGTCCCTGTGCCTGTAATCGTCGTCCTTCCTGGTAGACCATCCACGCCTATAAAAGGGAAGGACCCTCCCTATCAAGTAAGTGAAAAATGTGTCACTAAATCTTTAAGGTGTCTACTCGAACTTCCTTTGCTTTAATTACTGATTTGATCGTTGAACTGTATTAGGTGGGACACCCCAACGACGTCGAGATTTCTAATTATAGGTTCATTTGTCGTTGGACGACATATGATACATGAACCTCTCCAAAATTCGCCATCAATAAATATTAAAAAAACAACATAAAAAATTTAAAAGAATCAGACATTTCAATGAGATGCAAGCTTTGCAGAAATTAAATTTTATCAAATATACAAAATGCCAAATTTGCAGCTTTAAAAATAAAAATAAACTTCACTCCATTTTTTAATCCATCAATTTCACACAAAAAAATATGTCTAATAATTCATTGAAGCTGCATGTGAACGATCGTTATTTTTCTTTTTTAAACGAAAACCTATTCTAAAATAAGAGTTACAATACTTTATGCTAAATATTACAATACTTATCTAAATGCAAGATATAATTTTATAAAACTAAAAAGTTTATAGTAAAAATTAATTTACTTTTATTTTTTTTATCAGAACGTTACCTCATATATAGAGATAAAAATTCAAACTTATCATCTATCTTAATAACGTAACTATTTTTAGACGATTAGATGTAAACAAAAGAAATAAAAGAAGGTTGGATGAATGACTAAATAAAAATCTTTTCAAATATAAAATTTATTATTACAATTCAAATTATTATATGATGACTTAAAAGATGGTTTGTGTCAAAGGGACTAAAATGACACTCTTAAACCATATAGTTCCTACACATCAAGTTTTTCCCCTTTTTTGTTAGTACAGTAAAATGTGAAGATAAATGATTCAACTTCCGACTTCTAAGAAATGAGTAATATATTTTAATCACTAAACCATGCTCATGTTGAGAAATTTTCTCTCGGATAGTATTCCGCATTCCATATAACCCGTATCACAATTTGAAGCTTTTTTCTTTTTCTTTTCATCTATTGTCTCGCTACCTCCAAAACCATTCCATACAGTTTACTGTCGTCCTATCTTTCCGAAAGTAGAGCAATTATGTGTATTTAAGTTAAAATAATTAGTCCATATCTCTGTTGTTACATTACAATACTAGAAGATACACGTTGAGATTTCCTTTTTCTAGTACAACAAATTGGAGTACAAGGATTTGAAACTCCAATTTTGAAAAAAGTAGATGTGTTGAGCTATTCTCACGTTGTTCGTTAATAAAAAAATATTTGAAATATATAAATATATGCTTCACGTAAATCTCATTATTGTGAATTTCAATGGTCCACCTTCCACCATATTTAATTATATTTTGTTTTGTCACATCAAAATTTGAATCCTTGACCTGCCCAAAGGACGAAAATTTTGTTCTATCTTGACGTCTTTGATTTTTGTTTGGGTGAGAAAACGTCTTTAAATCAATTAAATATCAATTTATTGTTAATAAATGATTTTGGTCTTTAAATCAATTAGGCATGAATTTATTTTCAATAAATGATTTTGATTTTGGTCTATCCTAGATTTGAAAAATGGTACTAAATAATCCTTAAATTTATTGTTAATAAATGATTGTGGTCTCTCTTAAATTTATTGTTAATTCATGTTTCCACATACTTTTTAAATATATAATAAATATAAAAAATAAAAATTTTAAATATTTAATTTTACATTTTATTTTTTATATAAAACTTTTTATTTTTTAATTTAAAATTATAGAGAATAACGGACCGTTAACAAATATGTCATGTTTCTTAATCAAAGAAAAAAAATAAACATAATTTTTTTTTCTCAATAAAAAACGAGAAACAGTTAAAGAAGAAAAGAAAAAAAAAATCAAAACTGTATAATTCTACGCTCGAATTTTATTGACTTAAAGAGGAAGCCCAGAAGAATTTGTTTATTATTTATGGTTTGCTAATGAGCCCGGAAGAATTTGCGTCGTCTAGCTCGATCCAGTAATTTCTCTCCTGACGTAACGGATTAGTTTTTCGTTCTCATCAATTCAACATTGATTTTCTGTCAGGAGTATCAATATCATGGACCTCGAATCAGGTGTGCGCTACTGGAATCAGAATCGAGAATCATTTCTTTGTTCCTTCTGCAATTTTGTTTTTGTTTCTGTTGCTGCATTTCGCCCGTCGCCGCGCGTAATTTCGATGTTCTTAATTTGATTTTGTAGTGATCGAGTTTCTTGGATGCGTTCCGCTGCTACAGAGGCTGCCAAGCTCGTCCCTAAGGGCAGTAGCTGAAGTAATTGTCATTAAGAGCTACGGTAACTTTTGTTTTCTGCGATTTGTTCATAACTTTTGGTCTACAGTAACATTTAATCAGCTGATGAAATGAAGTGGCCGGTTTCCTTTTGCTCTTTTCCAATCAATATTCTGCTCTTCCACTTGATGGGATTAGCATGTAGTGACCTCTGGTTGCATGTGATGTGTAATTTTTCTTCTTAAAGTTCAAACATGTGAGGTGCGAATTTGAACCTACGATTTATGCATTGACTAGTTTTTCTATATTTGGGTTGACTTGTGATGTGTAATTCAACACTATGGTGGTTGTTTCCTTTCTTATATGTGGAAAATTCTAGGAAACTTTCTTAGCAGTTTTGATAATATATAAATGATAAAATTATTCTTTAACTGAGAACTTTAATTAGATTAGACAAGAAATTGGAGTTGAGGATATTGTAACTTCAGATTTAGTAGGTAACGTAGTAGTTGCTTATTTATATCACAGTTTTAATTCGACGTGCTTTTTTCAGAGAGGGGAGAATACGTTGTTCGTGAGGGTGAAAAGGGAGCTGGAGCCTATTTTATATGGGAGGGAGAGGTAATCTTCTTCGGAAACTTGTAGTTTTGGAAGTTTAGTGGGTTCTGAAAAAGCTCATTCACTTATGGTTTGCAGGCTGAAGTCCATGGTTCCATTGATGCAGAAGAAGAAAATCGTCCGGAATTCCAGTTAAAGCGTTATGACTATTTTGGTTATGGTAAATATTTTCTCAATATATCTGACGCATGCTATGCCACGTTATCTTCTGGCCAGAAGTCATATATGTTAAACATGTAGTTTCCTTTCTATTTTGTACCCAAATCATCCTCTTTTCCACCCCTTTCCCATGTAGGATTGATCTGTGGAAAGTATTTACAACCTGGTACTGGATCACGTCACATAACGTTATAACATTTCATAATTTTCATAAATTTTTCCTTGGGTGCTCCCACTAAATTGTTCTCATGTGTTCATTCTTCATGATATACTTCTGCATCTTGATATAACAAGTGCTAGATTTTGCTTAAATACCCATCTCTGTATGTTCTATGTCGTGTTGAATTTTGGTGTACACTCATTATATTGCCATCTCGAGTGGAGATTGCCCACTATGTGTGAGTGTGGTGATGATTCTGGAAATTAACAATGAAATCAACTGTTTTTACAGGAACCTCAACATCTGTACAAGAAGCTGATGTAGTTGCTTTGTCTAAGGTCGGTCGTTTAGGCCTTCCACTTTTTCTTTTACAAGCAAAATTCCGTTTCCTTGAGGTTATGCTATCTACATGTTTTACCTTCCTAAGTGCTCCTTATTGTGGCAGCTCACATGCTTGATCCTACCTCGGGAACATTATTCATTATTAAACCCAATGTCAATTTGGAATGCTGAGGGAACTCCTGATACATGTGCACTTGTTGAGAAAATATTGCACCTAGAGCCTCTGGAAGTAAGTTTTTCTTGCTTACAATTTTATTTTCTAAAGTAGTGCCCACCCCTCTCTCTCTCTGTGACCATTTTTTTTCTCCTAAAAAAAGGCAACTCATTTCTCCAGCACTTTTCCTTGAATAAAGGATGAAGGAACTTCACAAATCTTCTTATTCTGTAGTTTGTTTATGTTCTAGGATAAGAGATATCCCAAATTCTTTTATTTATATTTAGATTTACTTAAATACTTTTGTGTTCAATTATAAACTTGATAAGTTGTTTCTGAAAAATTAGCTTTTTAAAATATTTCTCATTAATATTTTAGCTCAATCAATTTCACCGTTTTTAATTATTTTAAAATATATTTGGTATTTCATAACTAAATAGCTCTAGAAATATTAGTGGGAATTAATTCTACATAGGAACCAATTCTTTATCTGTTTTACAATTTGGCTTAAATTTTTTTATAATTTTTGTTCTATTTTTGAAAATAAAGTTGATGATATTTAATTTAAATCATTATGTATTATTCTAAATTCTTCAAACATTTTAAATGTAATTCAGTTATTCAATAGATCAAAGTTGCTTTTATTTAAATATACCATGAAGCTCTTTAGGAATATTACGTTATTGCATAAACAAAAACATTCCAAGAACATAAATAAATCTAAACTGAAAATCAGAGAAATTTTTGATTGGCTTGTTCCTGTTGAAACATAAAATTTACAATGAATGAAAGGAAAATTGTAAGAAATTTTGTGGTTGACTTCTTTCTTCCTGTTGATACGTAGAACTACAATAAAGTTAATTTTATTTTTCAGATATGATATCCTTTTCTTTGACTATTGTTGCTAAAATGATTGCTTTTTATTTCTTTCGTCTTCTGAACTTATTCTAATCTTAAGTTATTTCCATGATTACTAAAATGATTGCTAAAATGTTGAGGAGGTTTGAATTTCTGAAGGGTCTTTTTTGGTTCTCTGAAGGCGAATATATTCCAGGGGATTACTTTACCCGATGCTCCAAAATTTGGAAAGGTTTTTGGAGGGCAGCTAGTTGGCCAGGTATGATTTCTTTTTCTTCTTCTGCCTTTTTCTTTGCAAGGGGGGTGGGGTCGATGTCAACGTGGTGCTTTATCACATATGCTTGAAATTGTTCTTTTTCTGATTTTATATTTGCTAATCATGGCAACATATTTACAAGTATAAACAGTTTGAGGGAACATACATCTTCTTTTTTATGACTCTACTGGTTTAGCAAATAGTACGTCTTAATATCTGTTGCTTGTAATTAAATGTTATAACATCAACTAAATTACTTGAAAAATATAGGCTCTAAACACAATAGAGCAAGATTGTTAATGCTTCTTGATTACACATAAATTGACTACTAACTTGTATTGCAGGCTCTGGCAGCAGCATCAAAAACTCTTGATTGTCTCAAGCTTGTCCATAGTTTGCATGTATATTTTCTTCTCGTTGGGAACTTTGATAGTAAGTACTATTATTTATACTGGATCTTAACGCTTTTATTGCTCAGATAACATACTCCCAACTGAATAATTTCATCTGTGGAAATATCTTGGTGTGCTTATCCATATATTTGTTTCTTATCTTCATCATAATTGTTTCAATGAGAATTTCAATTTCAATTAATCTAATTTGCATGGTGGTGGCGATTAGTGAGAGAATCACTTATTCCCTCATAAAATCATTGCATGGGGAGCTTTCAGGATTTAAGTGTTTATTTCATCCAAGGGTGTAGGTTCCTATCAAACTTAATGATTCATCCAAAGCCATGCAGGCTGACTTCCTTTTCCCTTGTGGATTTTTCAACATTGACTTCAACTCTGGGTTTTTTGTGTTCGGTTATTTATGCTTCTACGGTTAATGTCTTTCTGGATGATAGACTGAAGAGAGTGTGAAATATATACTGCTTGTTTGTACCTACTGCAGTCTAGACCCCAACTGCATACTGCGTGTCACCACAAAATGCTAGAACCTACTCGTCTTTCACATTTGAGAGCAGGACTATTCATGATAAATTAACTATGTCTTTGCTTAGTTATAGAAGCTGCCTGCTTTATTGTCAAAGTGGTGACCATTTCCCATATCTATATGACATGCTTCAGATGGTGTGAGAAAAATAGAACAATCTTAAATTAGATAGCTGTAAATGTAATTTTGAAGTTGAAAAAGAGATGATAACCTTTTTTTTTTTGCTCTTGTAGTGCCAATTATATATCAAGTTCACCGTATGCGTGATGGAAACAGCTTTGCTACTCGGAGAGTGGATGCAATACAGAGAGGAAATATCATTTTTACATTGCTCGCTTCATTTCAAGTAATTAGAAATCAGTGCATTCGTGGATGAAACCTGTTCAGTAATTTTCTTTTTCACTTTTCAAATTGGTTTGCTTACCATGCTTGTTGATTTGGGTTGTTCAAATTTATCATATTGTGGTTAAATTTTGTGTACATTTTATGCTTAAAATTCCTTCCAGTAAATTGAACTCGTCTTCTATAATAATTAATAAAAGTAAAAAAGGTTCCAAAGTCGGACGTACTGTTTCAACATGACAGAAATTATTAGAATAGACATAAATGATATGTAAGCTGTACTCATCTTGCATGTGTTGTAGAAATAAATATGGATGTTCTCTTCATAGATGATGACCTTTTTAGCACCAAGGCTTGAACGACAGTAAATCTCTGAATCTTCGTATTAGACTAAAGCAAGCAGAGGCTATTACTTTTGCACCCACCCACATGATTTCGTTGGTGTCGTTCATTTAATTGCAACTCTGCCTCTGCTTATGAACACAGAATTAGTATATATACTGTAGAATTATGGCTTATGAATATCGAAGAAAATTTTGCAGTACGTGTATAACACGCTAGAGTTTTGTTCCTAAAAATTATCAATTTAGGTCTGGGGATGATATGGATAGAAACACGCTTTCTATTATTGGTATTCAGAAGACATTACAAGGGGCCAAGGGAGAATTAGAGAGCTCCTGGGTCTCTCCCAAATAGTCTGTGACAAAATGGCAAAAAAGATACTCCTTCCCTCTCTACCCAGGGTGTATATACCCTATTCATAGAATACCCACTATGCCCCCTACTAGTACCATGGATGGGTTCACTCCCCTGACGGTTTCACCTTTTCTACACTGCGCTCACTTGTCCCTTCTTTCTAGAATAAAGTTTCTTAACTGGGGGCTTATCAGATATATGTAAATATGTAAAAAAGGAACAAAAACTACTTGCCCTAGCAAAATACACAAAAGATACAGCACGTAAATGAGTTTAAGAAGATAAATAGCACTTGATTGACTCATCATTTAATAAAATCCATTAAGTGATGCAGAGTTAATTCAAGGAGAGAATTCAAGTCCAAAAGAATTTTACCTGATATTTGAAGTACCTTGATGCCATAGGCTTACAAGATGAAGATATGTATGGTAGAATTATTGGAATGATCTTCCAAGCATAGGCAAGTTCCCAAACACCTTCGTAATTCTCTATTACTAAACTTTGAATGAAAACCAAGGACGTTTAGGTAATAAATCATTTGTGCCGATAACAAAAATTACAGACTATCTGGGAGAGTTTTGTAGAAGTCAAAATGACCAATTTTTGAGTAACATGGGTCATAATCTTCTTTAGCGAACTCCAAAATAAGCTCCATAACATTCGTATGAAACTTAGCTTATTATACTTTCCTTCGACATTACATTCCTATAACATTGAAACCATTCCAGAATAATTCCATCAAAAAATTTGAATTTGATGGATCTTAGAAAATTAAGTGATGAGAGATAAAATATCTACTTCATTATTCTATAGTTTTCACTGCAATACTTTGATTGCCAAGACTACAATGTTTTATTTGCAGAAAGAAGAAGAAGGATTTGACCACCAGATAGCAAAAATGCCACCAGTGCCATCTCCAGATACGGTGACTATTTTTTCCACCTATATGTATGGAAACTTTCATCAGAGAATTGTTATTYTGATATTAACATTGATTATATTTCAGCTTCTATCAATGGAAGACTTGCGTGAGAGACGCATAACAGATCCAGCTCTTCCGAGGTAAAATCAATGTTATTTTGATATTAACATTGATTACTTTGTATGGGCTTTTCCCTCATGTAGGTTGGCTGGTACATTCTTGCTCCTATCTCTTCCATTGCTTTGTTCATTTTTTATGGTAGGTTTATGTGATGCAATACCAGAAACTTCAATTTTGGCATTTGATAATATAATATATCAGATTGATGCTGTCTTGGATATGAAAATAAGTAGTCATTTATTTTAGTGAAATTATGTCTAGTTGGTTTTATTTTGGTCAGAGTGTAGGTTGAGGTTGAGGTCGGTCATTCAATATGACTGAAATCTCTATGATGGGGTTCCAGCATACAAATAGAACCAGATATGGTTTCCATTTGAAGTTCCATTTTATATGCAGTTAGTAATTGAAAATAATCAATTGTAAAATAGGAGTTTTAAATTTCTTCTGGTAAGATGATTACATGGTTGATATGGAAATTGGAAGCTAACTGGGTCATATGAAATGTTTTATCATTAAAAAATAAAGAAGAACAGTGTAGTATAAACAGTTTGTCTCAGTCGCTTGTCTATCTGTGTTTAATTGCTGATAACACCATTTTTGGATAAGAACTTATCTAATGTAGAATGGCTTGCAAGAACTAGCATCCCTAAAGTGAAAACAGCTCATGAGAACCATTGATTATATCAGGACGTACCGGAACAAGGTAGCTTCCAAGCCGTTTACTCCTTGGCCAATTGAGATACGATTCTGTGAGCCTAACAAATCGACAAACCAGACCAAGTCTCCTCCCAGGTAATCTTGTTGCACTTCACATCTCAGTTAATAGTTTGGCTGTGGTACTTGATGGTACAATTCATTTATATAAACACCTTGAACTATGTTGCAGTGTGAAATATTGGTTTAGAGCAAGAGGAAAACTTTCAGATGATCAAGCCTTGCACAGGTAAGCCAGCTTAATTGGGTAATAAAAAGTTATGCTTTTTGGAACTAGTTTATTAGAAGCTCGTTCGCTGATGTGATTCTGGGCTTGAAAGTCACAGCTGAATGGAATTTTATTTTGATGGGAAGATTGAATGAGAACTTAGGAGTTAGGACACAGTTCTCATCTCTTGTTGCGATAATCTGTGTGCGCCTTTCTTGCCTACATAAATGAGAAGGTCAAATGAGACTGAAATTTGTTTACTCGAGCAGGAAATTCTTGCTTGAAATGGATATGATGTACTTAATTGGCAAGGGCTTTGTGGTCTCTTAGTCATATTGGCTTAGAGGTTTCAAGTTCGAACCTTCTGGTGAGCTTAATACCAAAAACCTTGATGTCTCTCGGGTTCGGGCCTTGGGGCTGGAGCGAGTGCCCCTAGATATAGGATTTAGTACAAAATGGAAATAGTGAAAATTTACAAGGATTTAATACAACCCATTGTTGTGTATGCACGGAAAATTATATTTTATGGTATTTATTGCTCTGTGCAGGTGTGTAGTAGCATATGCTTCTGATCTGGTATTTATTTCAGTAAGCTTGAATCCCCATCGTAGGAAGGGTTTGAGGACAACTTCCGTGAGCTTGGATCACTCGTAAGTATTTGCAGTGATGTATTTACAATTGGGTTATTTTTAGTTGCTGACAGTCGACACTTCTGCCCTATATGTTTCTGGTGCTGCAACCTACGATTACATTACATAATTAAACAAAATAGAAAGGGAAGCTCAAACATCATTAAACATGGCAAATTCTCTCTTACTTCAGTACAGTTTCGTATAGCCATTTCTGTATGCTAAATATTGCTTTAGCATTATACCGCCGGGGCGGCTTTGATGGTAAAGGGGCTTATCATGTTTGGATATACTCTCGCTAAGGTCTTTGAGTTCAAATCCTCGTATGAAAAACTTAGCCCTGCTTGATAACTATTTTTTCTTTTGTTTTCTGTTTTGAAAATTTAGCTTATAAACACAACCATCGATATTTATTTGCTTTGTTATCTACGTTTTAGAAACATTTTCAACATCTTGGCCAATTTTTAAGAACTTTGTCTTTGTTTTTGAAATTTAACTAAAAATTCAAATATCTTTGTAATAACGGTGAAAAAAGCATACTAAAGAAATTGAGGAAACTGACATAATCTTTAAAAACAGAAAATAAGAAATAAATTTGTTATCAAACATGGCCTTAATAATTTACGATCCTTGTCTTTTGGAACTAGTATTTAGTGTGAAAAGCCTATAACAAAGCGTGGGTCATGAGCATAATGCAAGGGTCGGTGTAGGGCTCCTTATACCTTGTTTACAAGAAGATATAAATACTTTGACTTTATCATTGTCACAAATGTAGAATAAAATTTCTGCCTCAATTGCCTTCGTTTCTGTCCAGGATATGGTTTCACCGGCCTTTAAGAGCTGACGACTGGCTGTTATTTGTAGTAAGTATAACGAATGAAGTATTTCATTAAGTTTTGAGTGTGTTTAACAAAATGCTAACAGAAGCATGAACAGATACACACGCCTTCCGCCTACAACGCTCGCGGTTTCGTTTCGGGCGAGATGTTCAACCAAAAGGGGGAGGTAACAAAACTAGCTACCACATATCCTCTCTCTTTCTCTCTGTTATGTCAGGAACTAAATTGTGCAAATAATGAGCAGCTCGTCGCATCGTTGACTCAAGAAGGGCTAATTCGGAAGGCGAGATCGCCAGAACCAGCAGCCGCCTCGAAGTTATGAAGTGTGTTATCTAGTGTGGTAGTTGTCGACCTAAACTATTCCCGTTATCAATTTTGAAGTCCCAACGTTTTATGAAGTTTGTTTCAGCCATGAATGGATGGCAGCGGATAAAAGGTGGTATTGGAAGCCAGCAAGTTTCTCATTTTTTAGTAGTTTTACTATTCTATGTATCTCTAAAACCAATATATAAATCTAATAGTTTCAAAACATATACACAGAGATTAAATCTATGATATTATATTCTCGACCAAAAGGTTGGATGTTTATAGTCACCCAAATGTGGTTAAACTGAAAAAAGAAAATTTTTATGGTATTATTTCGTGCCTATGTGATGATGTGGTGATGTCTCCCCTTTCTCTCAATCTTCTCATGGTTTGTTAATATGATATTGGTTGAATTTCAAGTAATTTACAAAGATACTAACATTATTATTGGTAAAATTTTCTAAATAAAAAATAATCTACATGGATAGCCACTACCTAGTATCAAGTAGTAGCTTGGTCTGGGTGAGATTGGATTGTTGTCGTCCCAAATAAATTTATTCTTAGTTCAACAGGTAAGGGTGGAGATTTGAAACTTTGACTTTTCAATTGTAGATATATATTTTAACCAGTTGAACTATGTTCTGATCGTCTAAAATAAATTCGACAAGATTGTTATGGCTTAAATTGAATTCGATTGGGTATGAGACTCAAGAGATCACTTCACACCTTTCAACGATCTTGTGATGGCTAATTAGATCGAACATCAAACTTAAACAATGTAGGAAGGGTATATTTAGTGGCATGTTGCACTATACTGATCTAACACGACATCCTAGCACATCACGGTTAAAGCTAACTATCAAGCTCGATACTCGAGAGCAAGCTTGAATATCGAAGGGTGTTTGACAAACATCAAGTTCACACTTGTGCACAATACCTCTTGGTTTTACAAGTATCCTCCAACCATGCACATTTCTATATTGTATCTCCAATCACATGATGTATATCTATTCAASCTCTTCAATTTTTGTCAGGAGAATTGCTCAATCGTTAAGGTAATATATCTTATCAAAAGATTGTGAGTTTGAAACTTCACTCTCTCATGTAGGTGTACTAAAAAAAGAAAAAACACCGTTTGATTTTTAAGCCATAACAATGCCACAATAATTTCCATTCACTTAAATGTATCAGTAAGAATTGAATTTTCTTAGTCAAATTAAGTCTTAGACTTTTATCAAAAAGAATTGAATTTCTTTTTAATAAAAGTCTAAGACTTAATTTAATAAAATTAAAAATTTTAGTTAAAATTGATTGACTTATTAGTAAGAATTGAATTTTCTTTAAAATAATATTGTCAAGATAAATGAGATGAACAAATGTTATTATTAGGTTAAATTATTAATATAGCTTGAATTTATGCAGCATAATACTTAGTAATATATGTAGAATTGGCATTCATTTCTTCATTCATATTCATAGCTTAGTCTACTAAAATCAAAGGAGCCTCATCGTGGTAATTAGAGGACATCTTTGATCGTTCACCTCTAATGTGACACGTTCCCTCCCAGTTATATGATCAACGGGATCAGTCGTCCCTCGAGCGGGGCTCTTTTTCTTCCGGGGAGGCAAAGTCGTCCCCTGGTGAGGGCTGGCTGTCTGGGGACAGGTTAAGGCAGGGCCCTCTGGGCTTGCTTCTCATGAGATTGGGTGAGGGAATCGGAAAGGGGCTCATAAACCGAGCTGACTTCTCTTGACCCTTGCTTCCTCTCCTTCTGTATACTTCAGTGTATACAAGTATACGAGGGGCGGTGGTTCCTCTCTTTTTCTCTTTCACCTCGAACAAAAAATAGATCTCGCCATCAGCTCGACTAAGAGTTCCGAATCGAAAAAGTAAACTGAACGTCGACTTGATGATGCAAAGTCGAGGGGAACCGAGTGCCGAAAAAAACCGGTTTAGGTAAATATAATATATGTAGAATTTAGAAATTTAGAAGAGAAAAAAGCTGATCAAGAGAAGAAAATTCGTCGACATAGATGTAACGTAGTGATCAAGGCATATCCCAACTCAATGACATTTTTTTCTTATTAAAAAATATTTTTTTAGGGTGAGATTCAAACTCATGACTTTTTTTTTATATGACTTCAAGAGGTGGAGCTGATGCCAATTATCAATGAGCTAAGTGTCTTTTTTTAATAGAATTAACATTAGGGATTAAAATCTATATCTAGCATCATTATTATTATTATTTTAATTTGTTTCTCTGTAACTAATAATAATTCATACCTATATCTGATTAAGAGGTAACGAATTCAGGTGTACTAAATAAAATAATTAAAAAAAAAAAAAAAAACTTCCCCCAAAACTCATATGTTGGCCCCAACAGAAGCGTTAATGACAATTCTACCCCACAAACAGAGCTTTGCCTTTGCGTGCTTCCGACTGATTCCCTCTTCCAAGCTTCCTCCGTTGCCATCAGATCCGCCTGTAAAATTCCAAATCAAAATTTCCTGTGAGTTCAATATTTTCATTTTTGTTTAAGATTTTTGATGCGAACTCTTTTCTTTGTTTGTTGTCTTTTCATAGCCTTCAGTGTTTGATTTGTTTGTTAATCTCTGTGAAACGGGACACTTCTCATTCCGTATGTCCTAATGCTGGTTGTATTTGAGATCAAATTATGGTTTCACTTTGTCCTGCTTTTTCCATTTGTATAGTGTGGATTTGTTAGCGGTACTAATTTCAAGATAGATTTACGATAGCTTCAGGTCCTGGAATACCAGACCCTTCGAAGAATAAATCGGAGAACAAGAAATGAAAAAGTGAAATCGTAATGAATTGCTTGTGGATAACTTTTTTGGTTACAATGTTTGGTTTTTTTCTTTCGCTATATGTTCAATTTGCTTGTAAATGTACACTTTTATTGTTCGTAAAACTAAACTAAAAAGAACAAGGGAAAATAACTTTCTGGCCCTTTAATTTGCTATAAAGTTGGTCATTCAAAGTTATCTCACTGAATTTCAGTCCTGAAAAACAAGGTTTCTCAAGATGAACAATTTCGGTGCATTTGGTAAACTTCACAGGAATCCTCGAAGATGTTTGCTTCATTTAACCCAAAACTTCAGTTTATGGTGTTATTAACTGAAGTGGTTTGGTCGAGAGTCCATGGTGTTTAAGCTGATCTCTTATTAACATGCTGCTGATGCAAAATTTCTGGTTGAAACATTCTGCTTGACCCGTTTGAATGGATAAAAACAGTTAGACAAGCTGAGGATAGTTGGCAAAAATGGTCAGAACGTGGGTCTTAATAGGTGATTAGATTTCAAATTCTGAAAGGTGAAACTGTTTCAGGAATTTCTAAATTTTGAACTTTTTGATGGGGAAGAGGTTATGATTTCAGATCTCAACTTTTTGGCTTGAAATACTTGTGGTGGTGATCATGTTTTATTTAGCTCAAGGAACATAAAATTGTATTCTTCTAATGGATAGAAGTTCTTCTGAGTTTTCTAGACTTAAATAGCAGCATTTGTGAGCAGTACATCCTCTTTTTGACTTTTCAGGAGTTTCTTAATGGCTTGAACATCTCGATTGGGCATATGGACAGTGTTTTAGGTTCAAATAGTCTTGAAGAACCGATCCAACCACCGGGCCGATCTCTGCTGCCTGGGCTGCCAGATGACATTGCTCTTTCCATCCTCTCAAGGATTCCTCGAAAATACCATCATAATCTGAAATGTGTCTCAAAGAGATGGAAAGATCTGTTGAGCAGTGAAGAGTGGTATTCATGCCGTGAAAAGAATCATCTTGCCGAGACTTGGATCTATGCTTTGTGTAGAGACAAGTCTGAACGAGTTTCATGTTATGTTTTGGATCTTAACTCGTCAAAAAGGTGTTGGAAACGGATGAAAAGTTTACCAACTTGCAGCTTTAAGAGGAAGGGAATGGGGTTTGAAGCAATGGGGAAGAAGCTCTATTTATTAGGTGGTTGCAGTTGGTCTGAAGATGCTACTGATGAAGTTTACTGCTACGATACTTCCAAAAACAGTTGGATTAAGGTTGCACCATTGTCATCTGCAAGGTATATTCAGAATCGTGATGCTCCCGAAATTTACATGTGGCGATTTGCTTATTGTATTCACCTACATTTGCCTATGCACGATTTTCTTCAGTCTACCTTAATGCTTGTGTCATCATCTTATTTCTTTTGCATTCAGGTGCTACTTTGCATGTGAAGTCTTAAATGAAAAGCTTTATGCCATTGGGGGATTATGCTCCAATTCAGGTGATCCACAATCTTGGGACGTATATGATCCATGCTCTAACACTTGGGAATCTCACTTGGATAAAAATATTCAGAATGAAATAGAAAGTTCCATAGTGATGGATGGAAAGATTTATGTTCGTCTCCATTCTTCTGTGGATTCTCAAGCTTATGCTATGGTTTACGAACCATCAAGTGGGATGTGGCAGCGGAGCGACTCAGAAATGGTTTCAGGATGGCGAGGTCCAGCAGTCATCGTAGACGAGACCCTTTATGTCCTGGATCAAAGTTCTGGAACCAGACTGATGATGTGGAGTAATGAGGACAAGGAATGGCTTCCGGTGGGGAGATTTTCTGCCCTTCTAACGAGACCGCCATGTCAACTTGTTGCTGTCGGGAGAAGAATCGTCGTGGTAGGGAAGGGACTCAGCAGTGTCATCTTTGATGTTAGCAATGGAAGGACTATGGAGGGGGTGATGGTGAGTTCCTCTATACCTAGATTAGATTCTGATATTGATGTACTTGCCTGTAAATGTATAACAATTTAAGATGTCACCACCTGATAGAGAAGGGTGCCATCATGCAATACCATAATGTACATACTCTTTCAATGAAATATTTGAATCTCCAATTGGAGAATTGGCCATTTGTTACGTTCCAATTCTCCAGTTGTGATTATACATAATCGCAGGATGGTTATAATTGTATACATTCGAAAACGATAATGAATCATTAACAGTAGCAAGATTGCCAATCTAGAGACATTCAAGAAAATGCATTGGCTAAATGAATGAAAGAGAATGAACCACCATCGGTTGGCCAAGCGACATCAGGTATGGAAATGAGATGAGAGGACTTTGGGAGTCGAGATTCAAATTTTAGTGCTTTTCAACAGCCATATATTGTAGAGTCTTAGGATCTGTCTCATAATATTAGTCGAAGTGCACGAGAGGAAAAGGGGGAGGCACGGAACAAATGCAAAACTAATGTCTTCAATAATGTTATACACAATGTTATGTTACATATCAGGAGCTTAAATTTGGTAAATATTCCACAGCGGAAAACTGTCAAGTGACAACAATAGCAATTGTAGAGTGTAGACAACATAAGCCCTTTCAAAACTAATTGCCACTAAAGTAAATACCAGGTATACCAGTCACATTAAGCTAGTTTCTTTTCCTTTTGAATGCAGGATGAATGACCCCATTATGAGAATCTAGATTGTCAATTGTTGAGATACAGTCTTTCATCCTCTTCAAAACTGTAGGGATCATAGCGATATTACTCGATATTTTATCTTTAAGCAATTGAATCTTCTTTGCAGTTTCTAAGCCCTCGTCATGAAGGACTGTGCCTTCACCTCTTGCAGTTCGTTCGTCATCTACATAACAAAGTGAATTGTTGATCAGACCGTGTGATGAGTAAATAAGCATATGAATCATCAGCATAAGAGCAATCCAAATATCAAGGAAATAACTCTTCATTACCCTGAGACACCAATATTCTCAAACAAGTAAATTCTTTGAATAATCTCACTAACGAGTTCAAAATCAGGGGAATAATCAATCCACCCGAAAGCTAAAAGAATTTCATGAAAAGGATCCCTATCTTGAAAAACAGAATACGGTAACATTATTCACAAGAAATAATGTTCAGTGTATACCAAGAAGCTAACCATCTAGCTAAATTCTACATTTGCTCTCACCCCTAAGCTTTGTTCTGAAATTGATACACTCACCACCCCAAACAGGAAGAACCAACACAGTGAAAAAATTAGCTCAATTTAATGGTACTTTCCTAACTAAACTAGCTCAATTTAATCATCCACAACTATTGATGAGTTACAGCCAACTAAAATCTCTTGAACAAAGATTATAAACTCAACAAATAAAAATATCACCAAACAGATAGAATGTAATCTTTCTTCACAACTTGAACATGCAATAAACTCATTTTTTATAATTGTCATACTTTATAAATGGCAACCAACAGAAGAACAGAAAGACAGAAGCCTTCACTCAATGCTCTTTACAGGAAGGGCAGGAGCAAATGAAACAGATAAAAAACGGTTTGGAACATTACCATGAAAAGAACAAGATAATTATATCAACCAGCTTCTCATATGAGATGTGGACCAACAGTTAACTTGAGTGAAATAATATAAGATAATTATTCTGCTTCTTAAACTGAATGCTCCAGCAAGGCAGTCTAAGAAAATATTCCTAGTTAGAGTTACACAATATTGCCTTATTCAACAGCGAAAAGAAACATTGTATCTAAGCTCAAATAGCAAACAGAAGGCGAGTATTCGAACTTAATCCTTCATCATGAACCAGACTTACAGATCAAATAAGTCAGAGACTCAAAAGAAGTAGTAATTACAGTTCAAATAATTCAGAAGAAGAAGCAGTTCTTTCACCCTAATTAAACACTTAAAAATGTGTTCTAAAACAAGCACCTTGCCACAGCATTCCCAGATAGCAAACTCATTCATTTCTAAGGAGTAAAATACCCAAAAGGCTGGAACTCGGAAACAAAGAAACATTATTTCAGATTTCTTCCACTTCATTTTCTCAGGCAGCAAACCGAACCCACCCAAATCACTGTTAAACCTCTAAGATAACAACGAAAAATACGAAGCAACCAAAATTACAGCTCCAGAATCGCACCTTCAGGGCCCGGACGAACACATTCTCCCGGCTCCGAGGCTCCAGTGGCGACAGGCCTCGAGGATTCGAGTAACGAAATTAACGTGGACTTTAGTTGGCCCGACAGAGTCGATCTATACTGAAGAATCCTGTGAGCCATTTGCTTTACTTCAAGCTCCAGCTCCTCGAGCTCAGAATCCGGCTCCGTTTCTTCGGATTCAGATCCAGAAACCCCGGCGTGTTCCTCGGTTTGCTGGGGCTTGTGTAAGGACATATTAGGGTATATATCCACAGCCAGTTTCTACAGAAGTAGGCTTGAAAGATCAGAGCAAATGCCGTTGTGTGTTCGAATCGAATGCGAATCTTGGAATTTTGGAGGGCAACGCAACGGATTTCAAAATTTGAATGTTCGACGTGGGATTCAGAATTCAGAAATCGTCTAGAAGAAGAGAGAGAAAGAGAGAGAGGAAAGAGAAATCCGCGCTCGAACAAGTCGGGTCTTGAAGCCTGATTGGGCACCCGCCAAGCCCAAAATTATCAAACATTCAAATTAACCATTCGGCCCAGTAGGCCCAATCATAAGTCCAGTCCGCAGTTATCCCTTTCTTTTTTTTTTTTTTAGGCAAGTTGAAGTTGTATCAATTTTCAGTGAAAGCTTACCATTTCATTAAATTAAATCCTAAACATTGATAAGTAATGCAATTTTTACCCTCTACAATTTTTCGTTAATTCACCCGCTAATTTTAATAAAAGAACAGTAAAAAACTCCAAAACTCAATAATTTAATAAAAATCAAGCTTTGCACAAAATAAAGTTGAATTAATCCACAAAATCGACCTCTAAGTAACTCTACAGAAACTTACAAATTTCCAATCTAGCGTCGTTTTTGTTTAAATCCTATAAATTTCATATCAAATATATGTTTTGTAATTCATTAGACACATTTGAGAATATTTCTTTCATTTTCAAAGTTTAAAGTAAAAATTAACACACATTACCAGATTAATGGTTAAAATGAATATTTTTCGAGAGGATACAACTTTTAGAATTTTTAAAATCCCTATTAATTATACAACCAAATTTTATTTTTTAAGTTTTTTTAAAATTTATTTTCAACTAGATAGTAAAAAAATATATACAAATTATTTTTTAAAAAAAAAGACTTTTATTTGTATCATTTATAAGCAAATTTGAACTTTAGTCTGTTAAGACATTATAACTTGAGCTTAGTGTGTTAAAAGATATAGTTACTTCTCAAAAAAGATGCAGGTTAAAATCCGCAAGCACATATTTACTCAAAAGAAAATTTGTGTTATTTATAAAATTAGATGCAAACAAAACTAACATAAGGCATATAATCATCGATTAAAAAGTCGGAATTTTGAATCTCCATCACATGTAACCCGAAACGAAAAAATTGAGGGAGAGAATCATCTCATCAGGAATTTCCATTGAGCTAGAGGGAGGAAAAACCGGTGAATGATTCGATCTTCATTTCAACAACCTGATATCTTTCTTAAACAACAGAAGAAGTTATGTTAAAAATGTTGAAAATTTCATCACTTTTGGCCAAGAATCTGTTCTCTTTATCAAGGCCAAAAATGCCAGAGCAACCAAGTTCATCCACAAACTCCCAAAATGGAGCTTTTTCTTACTCGAAAGGAGGACGAGGCATCCCCGAGCATGCTAAAGAAGCATAAACATACGCACTCCAATTAGCTCTGATGCAAATAAAGAATCATTACGAAGTGTTTTACAAAGAAAACTTCATTTCCAATCTTGGGCTACCACCCTTGCCCAAAATAAGTAGTCGTCCATACAACTATCTTGAAAAGTTCTATTTATTTCTAGCCAAAATTCTCAAGGAAGACCTTGATAACATTGTTCCAAAGAATTTCTCTCTTTCCTTTGAAAGGTTTCCCACGTAAAGTCTGAATAAGAGGCTCTTTGATTGTTTTGGGGAAGCACCATTAAATTCCAAAAGTGTTTAGGATAGCCATCCTCCATTTCAGCACAAAATCACATCAGGAGAATAGGTGGTCTAGAAATTCAAATGTGAGAGTGAAACTCCCAAACTCCGAAAACAGAATAATGTTAATTTCTTTTTACAGGATTTGTGGACAACTATAGGAGATCTTTCATAAAGAACCTGAATATAACATCAGTCATCAGATGCCTTCTTAAGTAATCAAAGGAAGACAATGAACCCACAACTGACCCGAAAATATGCTTTAGGTAAGTAATTTGAAGCTCTGAAATTAATGCTTGACGATATTGGTAATAACCAATTCATTAAACATCTCAGCATCTGACAAACTGCACTATTTGACTTCAACAAAAAGGTCTACCCATGCTCTATCTCAACCTAAGTTTTAGGAAATGTATAATAAAAAAACTGCAGATTCAAGATATACACACACATAAAACCGTAACTAAACCTGGGGGTCTATGTATTACGGTTGGTCCTTGACACCATTGGAGCCCAGCTTCTCTCTTTGACTTTCTTGAGATTGATTATTTGATCCAAAGATGAAACCCTTAACAGAACTTTCTGCTGACAGTATAAACTTTTGGATCTGCCATCCCAAATTATGCCATTAGAATCCAAAACAATATGTACGTTTCTATAAAGCTGGAAATTCGATCAAACACCAATCAAGCATATAAAATCCGGCAGATCACTAAATGAATATTATTTTATGCATACAGATTCACGGCAGCATCAAAGTTTCCAATGTAGAAAGTAATGGGAACGTCCAATGCTTTACAGTTGTTTGATTTTACTTTAGAAGTAAAATCATGTTAACTTGTCACTTAAACTTACACTATTAATTTGCTAAATGCTAGGAATTCTTGCTTCTAACTGAATAGAAAGGGTAACTTCACTCTTCATTCTTAGTTCTCATATCTTATCGCAATAGCAAGAGATTATGCGTGATAGACGAATCTAGCCAGACCGGAACTTCATCGAAAGTTATGACTCTAAAATTGAAAACAAGAACAAAAAATAGTAATTCGCCAAAGTGAATATGAACCCACAAACTACAGATTGCTCTCATTAGAGATCAGTGAACATAAATATTCTTCCTGAGCAATTTAAAGCGTATTCGAATATTTTTCAGCTAATTTATACTTAATGCAGTGAGGAGTTAAAGACTCAACAGATTTACAATTACAATAGATACAAGTATAATAAACTAAACACACTGTATTAAACAACAATCAATCCCGTTTGTAAGCGGGCCGAAACAGGTCCAATACAGAATGTAGAAAACCTAAGTTCTACACAATAAAATCAAGTAAAAGGGAAAATATACRACGAATTAGACACTGATTACAAAAAACTGAACTAAAAGTAAAACTGACAAGAAATACAACTGGAAATCAGCCCCAAATCTTGAACTACACTAATCAATGAAAAAGAAGTCACTGCAAACGCAATTCATCTTTCGCTTGAGAAAATTATTAATAAAAGGAAGTTAGTCAATTGCTCGATAAAGGATTCCAAAATATAGTAAAGTATAGCACCATAGGAAAAACAAAACACAGAAAAGTAACTGCAAGCAATAGCATTAATCCGCAATTACATTGCACAAAAACAATCCCTGGATTGCTAAGAAGTAAAAGACAATCAACTTACAAATTAGCCTACTAAAAATCGAAGAACCTACTAGTTTTTGCAAGGATTTTCATTGCAACCAAACAGATAACAGAAATTATCAGGGAGACATGTTTAGAGGACTCACGGGATCGAGAAAATTGGGTTGAGGGCCATAGTCGGCGGTTAAGAGAAAGTATGAAGCAGTAACCGTGGCCACCATAGTTGTTCTTCTCAGCAGCTTGTCTGTTCGCGGATTCACCATTTCTGTTCCTCGATCAATTTCGTCTCTCGATTTCTAAATTAATCGCTCGAATGAAAAAGAAAAATGGATTGGTTTGCGATTGGATTTCTACGGTGGAAATTATTCTTCTGGTAATTTGGGAGTGTTTGGTGGTGGATTTCCATAAACCGCCTTGCGGTTAATTTATGCATCTTCGGAATCCCAAATTACTTGAATTTATAATTTTTTTTAAAATTAATGGTAAAATTTTTTAAAAAAAAAATTGATGTGTGAAAAAGTGAATCATCTTCAACGGAGGTATTGTCTAATATGCTGCAAAATAGTAAAACAATATTTTACGGATATCATTTTCACCCCTCCTTAAAAAATTAGCATGTAATGATGGATCGACCAAACATGACTCCTGGTTGATTTCTTATCTATTTCGAATCTACTTGTTTGACATTGAAATAAATTATACAAACACTAGGAAAAACAAAAGTAAAAAACATACTACTAAAGTAAAAGATATTTACTTGAGTAAAAATACAAAGCCATATATGACAAATTACACAACTAATACACATGTTCAATTTATGTGTGAGATTTTATTCAACTTCATCTTCTTGAATAACTGATATAATGATTTTTTGTCTCTTTTGAAATATCGTTTTCTGCTTTGTAGGTTATAGTCATCTCAAAGTGGTAAGGTGTATAGGTAATAATAGTACAAACTTACTCACATCATGCTACTGCTCATTTATCCTGTTAGTCTTCTTTAATGGTCATTACCCCAAGTACCTCAAAAAACAAAGCAAAATTCATCTCTTTCTTCTAAAACCTGGATCCTTATTTTTACTCCTCCATCGAAGATTTCAATGAGAAAATTGTAAAGTTGAAAAGAAAATTACATGTCTACGTTATATATTTATTTATGGACAAGAATTATATTCATTTTTAAATAAATGAATATAATTTGTTTATAAATGGGTAATTAGAAACTATACTTTGCAAATTATAAGTAATAAACCAATAATTTAAAATTTTGATGGTTTATAATTGATGTAAAAATAAAAGGAAAAAAAAAGCATACCAATAATTATTTAAAAGATMATCTCAATTTAAAAACTATAATAATTAAATATGGCGATTTATATYAACAAAGGGTCCTTAGCTCAGTGGTAGAGCATTTGACTGCAGATCAAGAGGTCACCGGTTCGAACCCGGTAGGGCCCTCTTTTTTCCAYGTTTTAATTCCGTTTTTACCCTGCCACTCTTTCAAATTTAATGTTCCGACGCTTCAGGAAATCATTTTCTATTTTATAAAATTAGTTTTCTCCTTTTTTTACTCTGCCACTCTTTCAAATTTAACGTTACAATAAATGCAGAGATTTAAACACTACTAATTTTCTTGGATTGAATTTAGATGTCCCATTATTTATCACATCATAAATATAGGGTAAGAATTTAAACCCACGAGCATATAGAAAAAGTAATAATATCGTAGCTAAATTGAGATACGTTCATGCTAACCATAATTTAAAATGTTAACACTGATTAATATAATATATAGGCATGAGATTTAATTGCAGACCCAGCCACGTTTACCTATTTCACCCAAAATTGCAAAGTAACTAACATAAAATTTACAGTGGAGGACTCTTTAGACATGTTTGAAAAAGATGTATGGAAGCAAATATGAAAAATACAAAATAAAAAACTTATAATGTGACCATAGAAAAACAGTGACATCTAATTTGACTTGATTGTTAGTTAATTCGTTTACGATTCATTTAGTGTTAACGTCTTCATTCCCTCTTAATCATTGTTTTTCTTTAGTACGGTATGTAGGAGTGAGAATTTGAACTCACTACTTTTTAGTCGAAAATAAATGTCTTAACCATTTCAGATATGCTCACAGTGGCCTCACAATCAATGTTAATGTTTGTGTTCCTTCTCAATTAATATTAACATTATAAAGTAAAGATAAACGTTATTCAAAGTTTAAAACAATTATATATAAATACACACACATACATATATATATTACAACAAATGAACGTTATTCAGAGTTTAAAGATATAATTACTCCCTAAAATTATATATAAATACACACACATACATACATATATATATATATTACAACAAATGTAACTTCAAACCTTAAAGAAATAAATAAATGTTATTTATAGTTGAATTATGTTCATGTTAACAATATACATCATGCTCAAAATACATTAACCTAACATATGATTTAACTTTAGATTTTTTTTAAATATTTCATATAAGAGAATGAGATATTGATCTAAGTAATATAAAGTAAATATGTATTTTCAAATTCAAATATAGTAAAAAGTTTGAAAATAATATAATTCAAATTAAATTCAAAGTCAAATGTAAGGTAAAACAAATTTAAACAACCCACACTTTATGCTATATTAAAAAATAATAATAAAATTTGTGACATTTGTTTAAATATATATTAAATTCGTGTTATAAAGGGAAAAAAAAGTGGTTTGATCACCATAAATTTTTAAATCATGGTGTTAGGTTAATAAAAAATTATATAAACTTCCAAATCTTTTTTTAATAGTCAACGTGAGTACAGTTGATAAAGAAAAAAAATTTTAGTATAACAAACTTTTGATATTTTTGATAAAAAAATATACATCTAAGTAGCTCCGTTCATATTGGCCTAAAATCTCCACAAGTTGCATAAATTAATTAAGATGCAGATTATTAATCCAAACATATTTCCAATAATATTTAAACGCTAAAGATATTTATAAGGAAAAAATAAATATCAAACTAAGTTTTTTTAATTTTCCCAAAATTTTACAGGCAAATCGAGTCGGGTTAAGGAAAGGCAGTATTGACCGACCCGGTTTAATATAAGAGCACAGCAGCACACTTTCAAATCAAATTTCGGGTTAGGGTTTAAGAAGACGGTCACCTGCGGCAAATCAGGGAGGAATTTTCCGGCGGCAAGGAGCAATAATATGTCGAAGAAGAATAATCTTTCGCGCAGGAAGAAGCAACACGAATTCGACCTTAAAAGTAACTCCTAATGTTGGATTAATTTTTTGAATCAATTGTTTGTTCCAGTAGAATTCACTTTTTCGTGGTTCTTATGCTAATTTTTTCCATGTGTGGATGGATTAGGGGAGAAAGATGAAAGGGAGAAGGCGGCAAAGAAGCTCCAAGCAAAGAAGAATCAGATGAAAGTAATTCTCTCTCACTTCCTCGTTTGATTGAGTCGAGAAAACTAGAATTTTCTGCTCTGCTAATAGAAAGAATTGAGGGTTGGGGAGGAGAGATTTATTATTGTCTCTGTTTTAGTTTTCAATTAATAATTTGGTAATTGTTCATATGAATTATGTTCTAGTTTCACACATTCTACTCATATCGTGGATTTGATGCCTCCAATTTGCACGATTTTTTAGCATGAAGTAAAATTTGTTTGCCTTCCTACAACGTGGGCGTGTTATTTCAAAATCACTTAGAAGATCGAAAATCTCATCGTTTTCGTTTGTTCATGTGCTTAGGTTGATGGTAGTGGGAAGCAAAAGAAGGGTGGAGGTGGATTTCAAGTCGGGAAGAAAAAGGTGAAGACCAAGTTGACGGCAGCGGCAAAAGCAAAAGCTGCCCAGGCAATGGAGCTTGATCAGTGAGGTTTGATTTGTATATTTTTAGGGGGCCCGAATTGGGGAATTGACATGTTTATTTAGTTTTATGATGAATGTAGCACAAAGAAATCTTCTCTATTCATAGTAAACTTTGATTCTTCATTTACCTTCTCTTGATCTCTAATGGGATTCGAATCTAGTTTACAGAGGATATTGATACTGTATGGAGTAATTTCATTTTTCATTCCTTTACTTTGAACTTCATCATACGTCATACAATATGAAATGGGATATGAAGCCACCCCTTTAACACTCAACTTTGATGATTCTTCTTCTTCTTGTCTATATAAAGGTACATGTTTCCGCAAGTGATTGTTGTCTCATTGTAAACTTTGATTCTTCACTTACTAGTTACTACCTTCTCTGGATCTCTTACCGAGTTCGAATGTAGTTGACACAGGATATTGATACTGTATGGAGTAATTTCATTTTTCATTCCTTAACTTTGAACTTCATCATACAATATGAAATGGGATATGATGACACCCCTTTGTTCTTGTAAGTTTGATGTTTCAATTTTGAAAATATTCCCTTGAACACTCAACTTCGATGATTTTTCTTCTTCTTGTTTATAGAAAGGTACATGTTTCTTGCAAGTGATTGTTGTCTCATCCTCCAGTTAACTTGCAAGTTTGCACTCTTAGGCAATAAGCTTGAAAATATCCATAATGAATCTGTTGAGCCCAGAAACTCATCTTCTCTGTAATGAATATGTCTTTCCTTTTTCTTTTGCATAGAAATAATTAAGGTGAAGAAACAAAAAGTAAACCCATCGTCTCAGAGTTGAATCATATGCCAGCCACATGGAATCCTTTCTTCGTCGATCGTGAATTCATTTAGAATGAGAATGTATTTGGTTTTATTAATTGAACTATATTACGATGGTTTAACTTAGTAGTCAATAAGTGTTAAKGTAAATAGTAAAGGATTTATAGGAATGAGTTCAAACCATAGTAGCCGTCTATTTAAGATTTAATATCATATGAATTACTAGTCTTATGAGAATGGTTGTGTGTGTACCAGTGGCAGAATCTTTAGGGGGTTCTCATGGCCATTTGGTATGAAGATGATCTAGTGAAATGTACGGCACTATTTGCACACTCAAGTAATTTATTATGAAAGTCGTTGAAATTACTATAATGTATTGATTGATTCATCACCTCACTTATGTAGGAATGAGTTTGTGGTTATCTTAACTTTACATTTACTTTTTGAAAGAAGATACCCCTTTCGCATAGGTTGAAGGTATGTTCATTCCATCCATAACGCCGCGATCTATGAATGCATTGCAATTTATAAAATTAATTAATGAAAACTTTTGAGACTCGAAACTCCTCAAATACTTTAGTATAGAGGAGATGATCCTAATGCAATCCCGTCTCATTTTCATGATATGAAGACACAAAAAGCACGAGATGAAGTTATTGCATAGATTTCTTTATATGAAATACAAAAACCACTTATGAACTCTATTAAAATGGCTTCTAAAGAACCATAGCAAAAGAGGTTATAGCTCTCATTAGAAAATTCAATGCATCCCTTATTTTTAAAATTAGACAAATTCAACTTCGTGGAATGCATAAAACATTTCAGCCATGAGCTATGGTTATTTTGTAACAGAAACAGCGAGATATATGGCAGACCAAACAAGGGGAATACATGGTCAAATTAACCTTAAATACAATATCCCAACATTGACCAAATATAGAACAAAATTAAGAGCATCAAATCACACAAAGCCAAAGCCAAAGCCTACCAGAGAGAATTTGGGATACCTATAATACCTCTTCATTTTCTCCCCCAAAACTCTCCCCCCTCCTTCAAGCCAAAAAACCAAAAAAACAAAAACAGAAATCTCTCTCTTTCTCTCTCGTTGGGGGACATCAAACATCTGACATCATGGTATGCGTTCTGCTACAGTTTTACATTTTGTTCTGAAATTGGGATGGATGGATTCATTGGTATTGTTCTTGACAGGCAAATTCAGCATCAGGAATGGCAGTGCATGATGAGTGCAAGCTCAAGTTTCTGGATCTGAAGGCCAAGAGAAAATACAGGTTCATAGTGTTCAAGATTGAGGAGAATATCCAGCAGGTGACTGTAGATAAGGTCGGTGGCCACAACGAAACCTACGACGATTTCATCGCCTCCATCCCTGCCAACGAGTGTCGTTATGCTGTCTTTGATTTTGACTTCACAACCGATGAGAATTGCCAGAAGAGCAAGATTTTCTTCATTTCTTGGTATCTTCTATATGGTTTGATCTTATTTTTTTCGAAGTTTTACTTAATCTATCTCTACTCTTTCGAACGGGTCGTAGGTTCAAATCTTATATATGATATGATGTACTCTTTTGTAATTTATTTACGTAGGTCACCCGACACGTCGAAAATAAGAAGTAAAATGTTGTATGCGAGTTCCAAGGACAGATTCAAGAGAGAGCTGGATGGAATTCAAGTTGAATTACAAGCAACAGATCCCAGTGAGATGAGCTTTGACATCATCAAAGGAAGAGCTATCTGAATCCCACCAGCAAAGCTAAAAAAATTCTCTTTGCAACCAAACATAATTTTTTACCCCTACATTTTATTACCCCACCTCAGGGCTAAGTTACTTTTTCTCACCCCTTATTTGTCAAATTCACCATTAGTTTTCATTGGGTGAATTGTCATGTTGACACTTGTCTTTGTTATATTTTCATTATGTTATTTATTTAGTTTTTTTCGGCCAAAACTGTAGAAATCCATTTCTACTGTGGTCTTTCTTCCATTTTAAGCCTTTTCAATTTCACATGAATTACTTCAATTAAGAGTTCACAATGATAAACTCTTAATTAGTACATTAATTTGTATTAGTAAAAAAATTCCCTTCGAATATTCTGTTTAGCCTCTCATTTTTTTTCATGTCATTTTTTTTCTTACTTAAAAAAAATCGAGTTCTAAAAGTACTTATAAAATAAATGCCTCACTTAAAAGTACTTATTTTAAATTCACGATAAATTATGATACTGTTCATCATTTATTAAAATGGGTGTCCAAATTCAGTCACTGCTTAACAGTCGAGAGAGTTGTGAGGCCCAAATTCTTATCAGCCCATAAAAAGGCCCAATCTAAGCGGAGCCCAATGTTTTTTTTTAATTTCTTTAATAAAAAATTAAATTTTAAATCCATTAATTCTCTTGTTGGTACGATGGGTGCTGCGGAAAATGCGGCAGCATATTTATTATAGCTGACAGAACGCAAATTATCAACGCAGTGGAAAATCTGTTTATTTGAAGTTAATTTTGTTTTCTAAATTTAATTTTGAACAAAAATAGAATAAAAAAATTAGAAATTTATCTTTCAAAATACTTTTTTCGTTTATACTTTCTCTTTTCAAATTATAAATAATCTTTAGATATTAAGAAATTAAAACTAAAGATCTTGTAAGTTTATCTACTTCTTAAGAAATATAAATCAAAGAAAACTTCCATATGCTTTTATAAATTTTTATTTTGTTGATTCACAAAAATAAATGAATTTATGTGATTCAATATATAGAGAGGTGTGGGAACTTTTAGGAAGTTATGAGAATTTCAGGGAAGAAACAACTTCTCCACGAAAAAGAACAAATAAATAAATAAATATATATATATATATATATACACACACTTGTGCGATTGATTTATTGTTAATATAGAAAATTTGAGTGATGAGTGTATATTGCGATTGATTTATTGTTAATATAGAAAATTTGAGTGATGAGTGTATATCGGCTTCCACGTGTGGTCGCGAGGAGAATGCACTGTTCTGATCTCCCAAACAGAAAAGTATCTTTGATCTTCAACAGACCTTTTATGACTTTGTGATCCAAGGAAGGGAATAAATATGTCTAAATGTCATCTGCAATTTCTTTTTGTCCTTTGATCTGCAGCGTGCATCACAGGAAGACTTGCGCGCCCAACTTGCATATAAAACGGAACAGCAAGCACAAAGAGAGATAAGTGAATCGTAACGAAAATATGTTTGATAATCATTTCGCCATGTACTTACTCGAGCATTGAAGTGCTCACTTTTTGTATTGTAGATTCCTCTCTTCGTTCATTTTTCATTGAAAGGACTAACATGACCATTTGTAATTGATATTTTGTGCACAAACCACGAAAGTATTTAGATTTTTGAAATCTATGAGATTTTTCATCCACTCAATTCAACTTCCTTTCTTATACATCCTTAGATTACTAATATAGAGTTTTTTTTTTTAAATACAACAAATGAGGTAAGATTCGAATTCATAACTTCTTGATCATAAAGTTATATCAATTACTGTTGAGTTAAGTTCAAACACTAATATAGAGTGGTTGATATTTAGCAAAGAAAGTTATCTTCACATCCAAAAAAGAAAGAAGGAAAGATTGAGTAAATTTGAATGGAAATATATATATATATATATATATATATATATATTTTTTTTTTTTTTTTGAAAAAAGAAAACAAATTTGTGGTATTTTCCGGCAGAAAATTTGGTCAAAAACAAAAAATAATTTATGAATGGGCCCGGGCAGTCGGGTCGACCACGATCATTATAAATAAAGCAATTATTCCTTCCATCGAATGCAATTCTAAAACGGCGACGTTTCATCTTGCCGACACCCCTCCCTCGAATCTGACTGACGTGGCAATATCCCATTGATTAACACGTTTTAGCTGTCCATAAGCGCCGATTAAAACGCGTAGTGGATTCACATGGATCGCGGAAATCACCCGCCAAAATCAACCGTACGATCAAACTTTGACCTCAACAATCAAATAGTCAAAAAAATCAACGGCTGGTACACCAGCGCTGCATCAAGAACCATGGACCTCACGTGCAGAACTCACTGTCAGTTGTAAACGATACACCACCGTTTATCCGTTTTTCATGAGCTCACTGAGCTCAGATGCGTATATATATATAAGGCCCACAGAGGATAGCGATTATCGTTATTGAGAATTTTTCGAGAATTTTCGTTTTCCATTTTCTTCTTCTCTGTTGAGCGGTACGAATTCTGAGAACGATGGCTACGGCGCCGGAAAAATCCGATTCCGCTCCTGCTCCGGTACCGCCGCTGGCGTCAGTTGCCACCGGAGCTCCGAACGACGTTGCGGAGGAGAAAGAGAAGGCTGTGGTTCCAGTGCCCGTCGTTAATAGTAATCTCTCTTTCTTTCTTTCTCGGGATGTTATCTGTTTGTTGTGTGCGTTTAGCTTGCTGTTTGTGCTTGTGACGAAACCGATTTGTTTCGTTTTGTCATTTCTTTCACTGATCGGAGGCTTCGACAGTGAACGATTAGTTGCGATTTTAGTTTTTGAGTTGCTTGAAATGTACGATCATAAGAATTGTAAGTTTTTTGTTTCTTCATTGAGCGGGTAGTTTGCATAGATTAGGCATCCAGGCGTTTCTCTAGTTACTTTTCATGCTCTGTTTGGAGAAATGGATTGTCAAGTCAAGGAATAAAATCTATTCAAATTTGGTGTAGGGGAAAGCTCCGCTTACAAGTTGTCTTTTACTCTGAATTAAAAGCAGAACGAGTAGTAGTGGAACAATTGGGAATCTATGGTTTTCGATGTCATTGGCAGAGTCTAAACGAATGAAAAAGTAAAATGTAAATTCAATATTAAAGTAAGCAAAATTGGTTTTCTGAAGTTGCAAGTTCTTCAAAACAACTTGTATCTCGGATAGAGATTGGTAGCGATGTTGTTGATGTCTAAATTCATTTTTATAATTTTCCAATTAAAATGAACTCTATATCATGATGACATTTTGTGTCGATTATATTATCATCTTTCTCATGTTAGTGTTACCTTAGAAAAAGTTACAGATTTAAGCCCGTCACCTGTTTGGAAGTTTTGAATTTTTACCTGTTTGAGAGAAAATTATCCCCTTCAATTATATGCGGCGACTGTTAATGTATTGCTTTGTTGGTACCTTTTTTGGCTTTTACTCTGTTGAGCATTTCTTACTTTTATTGCCAGCACCAYGTTAATTACGGAAAGTCTCGGACACCAAGAGAGGAAGAGAAATAAGTTTTAGTGTTTCTCTAATAGTTTTTCCCCTCCTTTCCTTTTCTGTTTCTTACATTCTCTGATTTTAAAGACCATTTCTTAATTTATTCTTCAGTATGATTAAAGTTGTAGATAAATTTACAAAATCATGTTAGCTTTTGATTACTTGCTTCCTTTATCGGTGTAAAGGAAGATACTTTTGAAAAAGAAACTATAAATATATATTATAGCTTTTTCTGATATGATTATTTGTTAAATAGTTCTTCGGATTAGGTAGAAATAGAATCAAGATATTTGTCCTTATCAATGCTTTTGAAGATGCAAATTATGCATTACAGCTGTCCATCGCTACCTTGAAGAAAAACATCTGTCTCTTTCCGTCTTTTGATTCTGTTTATTCAATAAAGTTGGGTAAGAATTTTATTAGAAGTGATTTAAGTTGCAACTTAACGACATTCTACCTCATGGTTTTAACTTGCCATCTATATACTTGGCTGTCATTTGAACAATTCACTCAGTTTAATTTATACTGCGTACATTTCGATTTAATTTCATCTATATTTCTTGATAAACTTTTGCAAGCAGAAAAGCTAATATAGCATTGCGTTTGTCCACCTTGATAAATTATGCTTCTAGCTTTTATTATAGCTTGTGTGATTTTCCCTCGAGTTTAATGACTTTATATTGTTTGATTCTGATACCTTTGATTATTGTATTCATCTGCTGAAAACTTTAGCTCTTATAATTTCCTAACTTCTTCTTTCCACCCATTTCGGATCTTGGCAGAAACCAAAGATCCTGCACCAACTAAAGCTTCAGGTGGATCAATTGACAGAGGTGAGTGTACAGCATGCATCTTATCTATATTCTATATATCTTCTAGCTTTACAACAATAAATATTTCAAAACCGTGGTGTGAAAGCCACGAGATTGTCCCGAAGGTTGATGCATTGCTTTAGTGAATTGATCGTTCACACGCTGACCTGGTCCTCACCTGTTTCACTTAGATATTGCTCTTGCGGAGGTTGAAAAGGAAAAAAGGCATTCCTTCATCAAGGCTTGGGAAGACAGTGAAAAGACAAAGGCTGAGAACAAGTAAGGCTTTGAATGAACTCGTACGTTTAGGCCCGTTTGGTAACGTTTCCATTACTTGTTTCTGTTTTCTCATTTTTAATAACAAAAAATAGAATTGCGTGGCACCCAACATCCATAGATGCAAGAATAATATAATAAGATTTTTATTAATGTTGGAATAAATTGGAAATGGAAACAAGAACTAAGAAACTTGTTTTTGCTGTTTCCAAATTTCTATAAATTTTGAGAAATATTTCTAAAAAAATGAGAAACAAAAAACATAAATGGTTGTCAAATACTTAGATTTCTTAACAAAATTAGAAACAGGCCCTTAGTTTTTACCTACTAGGTTAGCTTAGTTTCCACTAGAGAACAAAGAACACCTGGAAACAAAAATTGGGACATGGCTGTGCTCGTAATTCAGTATCACTATGCTTGTCTTCTCTTGTCATCTGTCAAAGATCAGTTCTGGTTTATTCAGACAGGGACAAAGGCTGGTATTGGGCAACTAGATTTTAATGCCCAACATTCCTTGCTCCAACTTCCAAACTATTACAGAATTCAAATTTTTGCTGTATCACTTCACTGTTTATGCAATGATTTGAGCTTATGACAGAAATATTTGTCTGACTATTTAATAGGGCACAGAAGAAGCTCTCTGCTGTAGCTGCATGGGAGAACAGCAAAAGAGCCAGTCTGGAAGCCAAGTTGAAAAAAATTGAGGTAATTACTAATTCCTGTACCTCCAAGTCGGAACGTAGATCGAGCAGGAAAACGTCAAATTGGAAATCTCATGAATACTGAACGCTGGATTTGATTTGATTTTACCAGTGTGCATTTGGAATTCTAGTTTTAACAAGTTGTGGGAATCACAGGAACAATTGGAGAAGAAAAAGGCTGAATATGGAGAAAAAATGAAGAACAAAGTAGCTTTGATTCACAAAGAAGCAGAAGAAAAGAAGGCAACGGTGGGAGCGCAGCGTTCGGAGGAACTGCTTAAAGCGGAGGAGACAGCAGCCAAATTCCGAGCAACTGGAACCATCCCAAAGAAATTTTTGGGATGTTTTTGAAAGTTTTTGTTTGTTTTTTTTTATAAGTATATGTATTTTCCTGTCTTTAAGTGTAAATCTTCATGGTTGTTGGCTGTGGTTCTTTGTTTTGTTTGTATAAAATGTAAGAGTGGTTTTGGCTTTTGTTTGTGTGTCTGTTGTTGTTCTTCTGTTCCTTCAGTTAGGAGCGCAAAAATTAAAGTTCAAAAGCTGATTTTCCAGACATTATGCATACCAATTTCCAGTCATGAGATTGTAGATAAAATAAAAACACTAAAAAAATTGGGTTAAATTACTATTTTTGTTTTGTAAACTTAAGTTTTTATTATTTTGTCTAGTTTAAGATATGATACAAAGTCAAACTTTCGCTCTAAAAAAGATAAAGAAGATAAAAATTAGTGTTAGGATTTTATTTTTATTGCTCGGTATTGGATCAATTAATGGTACATTTTATAGTATAATTCCACTAATTAAGAGATTAATAACATTTCAAACTTTTGATCTCGTAGTAACTATTTAGTYCCAGTACTTTTACATTAATAATAATTTAGTTCTTGAATTTTAGTAGGTAATAATTYAATCCTGTAATTTAAAAATTGTAACAATTTAATTCCTACCAAATTTTATTTTAACGAAAGTACATTAAACAAAACTTTTTTTTAACCCAATTTTTTTACTGGGTCTGAATTTCATATCTAACATGTTATATTCTACMAAAGTTGTTCAGAAGTCTTTTTTCGAACTTCATTTTCCTGATTTGATGGGGGAGGGGATAGGTTTTTTGGATGAATTGGATGATCCAATAGGTAAACCTTAAATGATCGTAAAGTCTCCATTGATGGTTAAAACTTAGAAATTACTCAAAGAAATAGAATAAAGAGAGACAATTGGTAAAATATTAATAGATAGTCAGAATAGTGCTGAAAATAGATGGGAGTTAAAAGCACTTACATTAATCAGTGTATCATAATGGCTCTGCACTCGAAACCATATAATGCCTATCTACATACTGAACTTTGCCGCTGAGTAGAAATCCCTTTTGGCAACTGCTTTTTTTGTAAGCAGCAATGGAATGGAGATTCCACGAAGAGAAAACTGCTTCCTCAGCTTCAATTTCAAAGCACAAAAAATGGTTACATTACCCAATAGTGTTTGCTAACCAACCACAAAACTTGGACTTATCCTCTACTAGAGAGAGCTTTTATAGGGCAGATAAGAAGACACTTCCTTTCTACTGCTGATGCTGCGTTTTTATGTTGTTTTCTTCTAAGAAGCTCATGTCGTTGTTAATGGGGAAGTCCAGCAGCAGTTCTAATGCACTATCGGATGACTCCTCGAACTCGTTTGCACTCGATGAATCGGACTTGGACATCAGAATGCTAGCCATGGATTTGAAGTTTTTGTACTCAGTTTCTTCATTTTCATTGCTTTCCATGGCGGAGGAACCGGTGTAATCAAGTCCGTTATCGGTGGAGACAACGAAAACCGACTCGCATTTCATTGATGAGGATATGGGACTCTGGCTTTGGCATGTAGTTTTATCTTCCCTTGTGCACCTACGAAATGAATCACCAACTTCAGAGTTCCATATTTGGAGAAAGAAGTCAGAATCAGTTGTTCTTTCCATGGGGAGTGGGGTGAAGAGTGATGACTCCCTTGAAAGTCGAGCTTCGGCTTCGAGCCGAGCGCTCTCCCACTGTGCCATGTGCCTGGTGGCCGGGGATGCCGGTGCTGTAGAGGATGAGCAGCGAGAGCTGAAGGGTTCATGTGTCTGTGGATCAATGCCAATGCAAATAAGACGTTTCTTGAGGTGGGTGTTCCATAAGTTCTTGATTTCATTATCTGTTCTTCCTGGCAGTTGAGAAGCAATGGCAGCCCACCTGCAAAGAGTCTTGATCAGTAAAACTTCATCAACAACATTCATAACCGCAGCAAACAGTTGAAGAAGAGAAACAACATCAAAATCCCATCCTAAAACATGTTTTTGAACAAGTAGACGAGCAGAAATGTTGATGTTTATCCTGCTTTTCAAAAAAACACGAAACCGCAGCTAAGAAAGCAAACAATCGGTTCATATGACTAGTTTCAATACTTTCAATACTTAGCCTTGAGTTTTCTTGAAAGTGATTCCACTGGCCAAACACAGGCTAAACATCTCTCTACAGCCGAAGGTCAGCGAGAACTCAACTCTATTTGAATATTTAATTCATAATCATTTGAGTAGCACAACATATAGTCAAACATCAGACAAAAATTAAAGAAAAAATAATAATTAAATGGTAGTACAGAGGCGATTAGACAAAAGGTACCATAAATTTTAGCAGCCAAATCAATGGTGTCATTCAGGAAGGAAACAAAGAAGCATCACCTGTTTCCAAGGATACCATGGAGCTGAATAACAAGCTTCTCTTCCTCAGTAGTAAAGGGGCCACGTTTGATATCAGGTCTTAGATAGTTTGTCCACCTCAAACGGCAGCTCTTCCCACACCGTAGAAGACCTAAGATAAACACATCATGTAGACAGACCATCCTATTCAATGTGAGAGAGAGACAAATTAAATAAATGAAGAACATAAGACAATAATTGTTCCCTTCCAAGTTCCAACTGTGAGAAAATTTTGGGAGCATCCTATGAAGGAGAAACTAGGCTATTGAACAGAGTAAGTTTGGGTATAAATAATGTCCGGTCCTGGTCAATGGAGACGAAATCGAAACTAAAGGTAAATCGAAAGACCAGCGCTTCTTATGTTGAGGGATGGCTGAGGCAGGCAAGCATTCCTTGACAGGGGAAGAGTTTGCAGAACTGTTATGTCCTAGTTTAGCATCACTTGCCGGGCAACATAGAACGTTTATGCACACAAAAATTACCAGAACAGAAATTCCAAAATAATGCTAAAACATTTTTCTGCACATTGTTAGGTAACAAGGCACGGGACACAGCTGCTCTTAAATATGTGAGATCGATGAAAGGAGAAGAGTGGGAAAAATGGAAGAGTGTAAGGGAAAAGGGGCAGGGTAAAGGACCCAACTACTCAAGCTTCTTCTAATTATTCTTTTTTCTTTTCCCTTTTCCTTTTGTCACTCCATTTACAATAAATGTCGTAAGTTCTGAAGGAAGAAATCTGTTCCAAAAGTTATATTAAACAGAGACTGCAGAATGAGAGATGACAAGTGGAACTAGTGGAAAATTTGGATCACTAAACCTGCAAGCTTGGGGAGCGATCTCCAGCTTCCATGGCCATTGTTTTTCTTGATATAATTAATAAGGAGCTCATCTTCTTCTGATGTCCACGGCCCTTTCTTTAGCCCCTTTTTGTCACAACAAGGCGTCCTTCCCATCTCACACCTTTCAGTACCAGAGGCAGAGACACCGCCACCAGTGACCAGAGCGAGAGAAAAAAACCCAGATCCTCCCTTAAAGCATCAAATTTTCAGAAGAGAATTACAGAGGGGGGAGGAGGGAAGCCATGTGAAAGGAAAACATTATCTCAATCAATTGAAATAAAAAGAGGGAAATTAATGGCTATGTGAGTCTGAAGAGGAAGGACAAGAATCAGCTAGTTTCAAGCTGGTTATTGCAATAAATACTGACATGGTTGAGCATAGTAAGAATTGAATCATCATTGAAAGTAAAATTTGTCCAAAAAATTTGAGGGAGTTAATGCAGAGGTTTCTCATTCTGAGGTTTTAAAATTACGCACAACTGATATAAGAAATAAGCGAATAAGGAGAAGAATTTATTGCGGATTCTCACAATGCAGACTAGCATTTATTGAACAGAGAGAGATTTGAGACGCATTTAATATGATGAAAATGACATACAGAGTACGGGACATACCATGACAAGACCAGGCCTTCACCACTGCTCCCTTGGTGGGTCTTCTCAAATTTCCACTTCCCTCTTCCAATCTGATTGCTGGTTTCTTGCTAAAACTTCATAATCAGCAAACTTTCCTGCCTAATTTTAGCAGGAAATTCTAAATTGTGAGAAACCTCCCCCAGATTAAGATAATGTAAAATTACTAAACAGGCATATATGTGCCTGAAATACATAAATTCATCAACCATATTTTTTTCCTATCCAAAATTGAACAAACTTCTTTTGCGTATATTTTATTTAAGATCAGATTAGGAATTGTTCACTGATAATAAACGCCATTATAAACAAAAGACAAAGAATTCACATGATTTCAACTATAATCGAGGTCAAAAACGAGTCCAAACTAAATAATGTAAATCTCGAAACAGAACAGAGTTACCTTCATCTCACGGAGCAACCGAAAGTTGTCACAATAAATGCACAAGGAAAGAGAGAGAAAGACAAAAATTAAATGCCTCAATATCATTACTCCTTTTAGGAATCAGGTAAACGAGTTGAAATTGAACAAAACCGGAGAAAGATAAAGCGAAAAAAAAGCTGAGATTCGAGGGTATTAGTTTCAAACTCTGCGAGCATCGATCTGATGAAAAATCGAGAAGAAACCAAAAATCGAAAGAGAACAAACGAAATCTTTTCATATTTGTATGGATCTGTGGAATAAGAACGCAGAAATTTGACTCACCGCATAACAGGACGATGAGAAGGAAGACGACACGATTCAATCCATTGAAAGGTACCAGCACGAGCAGCTCTTGCGACTGCTGGTTCGAATTTGGCGCCATAAAAGCCAAACCAGAAATTGAGTTTCGTTGTTTCCACTTTTTTTTTCCTTATGTTTTTCTTTTTCCCATTTCTGAAGCTAAATATACAATTTTATGGAATTTCAATTAAGTCCCTTCAGTTCTTTAACATTTCTTATCAGTTTTTTTCTTAATAATAATATATATTTTTTTTTTTTGCAAAGGGAATAAAATAAAATAAATTTTATTTTAATAAATTTGTGTTTTCTTTTAGAATATTTCACAAAATTATGTTCCAATTTTAAATATAGAAATTATTTTCAGTTTTTGTCTTCTTCGTTTTTTTTTTCCCCTAAAAAATGTTGGACAAAATTCTTCATTTTATCTTTCTAATTTCATGGAGCATTTATAAATATATATTGGGTTACTTGGGACAAACTGAAAAAAAAAAGTAAGGTTTATTAATTTTGCATTAGCATTAACAATAATAATAACTAATTAACTAAGTGCCCATTTGAAAACTATTTTATTTTGATTTTATGTTTTTTAATTAAACTTGTTAATATACCGCTTTCACCCGTATTTATTTGTTTTGTTGTCTATATTTTAGAAATGTTTTCAAATCTAACTAAATTTTGAAAATAAAAAATAATAATTTTTAAAAACTTATTTTTTTTTCCAAATTTGGTTAAGAATTCAAGTGTATTTTTTAAAATGTGAAAATATGTCAAATAAATTATGAGTAAACTAGCATAATTCTCAAAAATAGAAAACTAAAAATGAAATGTTTATCCAACCCGCCTAATATAAATAAATTCCAAGTATATATCAAACTACTACAATTTACTATAATAATTAATATTCCCCGTTAATTAGGATGGATGAAACGCTTTCGAAGAGTGAGATTAATGAATTTAGTGTTTAGAGCTGGTGAACTCATCCAATATGTACTTTATGTTAGAACAAAGAAGAGAAATCCACAATGTAGGAATTCATCTTTGTACTTAGGATACAAATTCATATGCAAACTTTAAGAAGTACTTCAAGAATCACAAGTATTTTTTAAAAACTTTCTACGAATTAAAAAAAAATTGATTCTATCTTTCTCATTTATCTCGAATCGAAGAATTAGTTATGTTAATGTCGGTTTAGAACAAGGTTTCAAAAGAAATGACCTTTCCTATCTCATGCAATTTGGTATCCATTTTAATTGGTTGATCATTTTTTATATGGGTCCATATTAGGGGTGAAATTACCCCATCAAAGTCTCATCAACTAAGTTGAGGAAGCGACATAGGTCAAGCCACCTAGATCATACCGTTCGGATTGAACCATCCAACCAGACTGGAGCTAACCGAGTTGGTTCGTCCGAACCAACTCAAGAAGACTCATTCACCAAATAAGAGGAGAGACATATTGCACGAGGTATACTCTCACAACTCTACTCTTATTACTCTCAATGAAATTCTTTGCTAACTTAGGCATTAGAGTGTATCGGGCTTAGCACCACCATGGTGTGTGCAGTTTTCTTTATGTGTAGGTGCTAGCCGTAGCTATTGACGCTAGAGACTGAAACCACATTTCTGCATCAACAGTTCATATCATCCATATGCTCAATTATGCAACCATTTATGGTTAAACGATGATGATATAGGAGTATCACATATTATTTCATTTAGTACTCGAGTCACCTAATTACCCTCGAGTCCTTCACATGGGAGGACTTGGGTATGCCCTATCAAACCTTTATGAGTTCAATTCAAATAACTTGACAAATACACGTTTGGTGGCACGCTCCTACTTTATGATAACCATCTTTACTTGAATTCTACCAAACGAATATATTCTCATAGAGTAGATAGCCTTTTTGTCTGCGATAAAAAAAAATTTACTCAGAAATTTACTCATGTCATCGAATAAACTCAACCAATCATGCACGATTTTGTCTTCAAGACTCATCACACGTTCTTCCAAAATTTTATGCCTATGATTGTTCATTTATCATACTTAATATGATAACATTTGAATTCACTAAGAGATTCGTCAATAATAAAAAAAACACGTGAATGAGCGTTTGAGTTATTTTTTACAAACACCACCACTTATGTTATTCAACTTCTCTAACAAAAAAATCACTTAAACTCAACCTTATAATTTGATTTTTCTTTTCCAGAAAACTTGTAAAATTGTAACATTAATATTCACTTTAGAAAATGTTAAAAAAAAAACAAAAATCATACCAACAACATAACTCAGTAATTAAATCATCTTGCTTCTTTTTTAGATGTCCAAGATTCAATCTCTCATCATTACATCTATTGTACTAAAAAAATCCGTTTTAATTATTGCATATTTTTTATAAGAGAGAGTATTAGAATGTTCTCATTCGAACTTATATCAAATAATAAGACATTTATTGTTTTATAAAAATCGTGAGAAAAAAAAATTATATATAAAAAGGTTTTGAATTAAAAGAGAATAGTCAAAATAGATTATTAAAGAAGGGAAAGGCCCTAAAATAATGTCAGTCAATGAGAAGTCAAAATTGTTGCTTCGCATTTAATGCCATCTCTTTTCTTCTTATCTTTTTCTTTTCTTTAAATTAATTTTCATTTTATTTGACAGAAAGGGTTTTTAAGAACAATATCAACATAAAAATTATTTCAGAAAAGTACAGTTTGTCCCATCAATGAGTATTTCAACTTCAAAAAAAAAAATTAATTAGAAAAAATGTTACCCTCTTCAAATTAAGTTGGAATTATCTCATCTAGAATGTTTATTTATCCCACCCATGGTATAGTATTAGGCTAAATAAACGTTTTAGTCTTTACTGTTTTTTTTTAATTGGGCCTTTAAAAGGTTTCAATTTAGTCTTTTTAGTTTTTTTAATTATTATTTAATTTCTCATCGATGGTAAATAAATTTATATGGCTTAGTACTTTATGAATTTGAAGGAAGGAAGTTGTAGAAATTTCTAGTTTTCTTGTTTGATGACCTTTCTTCTTCTCTAAATTTCCACTAATCTCACTGAGTATTGTATTTTGTAAGTCTAACGTCAAGTAATTTTAACATTCACCAACAGTGAATAACTAAATTGAAAATTTTTAAACAATAGAAACTAAAACATATATTTAGCCGAATAGAAATTCAATTTTTTTGACCGRCCATTATGGTTTGGTCTATTGTGTAAAGGTAACTTCAATTGAATCCGACAATACAATTTGAATTTCGTAAAATATAATAGAAAAATTAGTGACAAAGGTATTGGTATAATTCACCTCAGGGATGATTTTGTTCATGGACGCAAACCAAAAGTCCTGTCTAACATCGATAGAGATGTTTTTATCACTCAGTAACGTGAATCGATCGTTGTATCTCTAATATTTTCTAATGAAATTGGAGGGAAAAAAATTAGTTAAGTACTTTTTCTAAAAGCAACTTTAAAATTTTCTAAAATAAATTTGACCACGTGAGAGAGAACATCATAATGAGTTTCAAAAAATAATTTAGTTGAAAGTCATTTTCACTACCTAAAATTCATTTAAAATTCACTCCAAATGAACGCCATTCATGCTCAGTTATAATAACTGAGAGTACAAATAGAAAGGACACTAAAGTGCAAAATTTATAATGATGGAGAGTGTGCATATAATAAAGGTGTAATAATTGAAACCATATGAATAAAGATTAAATAACCTTTAATGTTTTTTATTTGGATTTCCAGTCAAATCTTATAATGATNTGATTTTAATTCACAGCCACATCTACTAAAATGTTTGAATTTTGACCTATGTGTTGGTTTTATTTTATTAGGTCTTTTGAAATATTGCCAATTAGTTCAACAGAAAGGTCTGCAATCCTATTCAATAATTTTTGTAATAATTGAGACATTTATCAAAGATTCCAGATAATTATTTACAAAGTGACATTCTAGATGGTCTTTGCTCCTGTGGATTAGGCAAACACAAAAATCTAGCTAAGTTTTTGTTTAGATATAAAATTTCAAATTACAAGGAGGAATTCTATTTTTATCCTTGAACTGGCAATATGAGACTATTTTAATCCTAAACTTTCAATTTTATCATATTAAACTTTAGAATTATTATATATGTATGTATATGTATGCATTCGAGTACATGGAATTGATTCGAGTCCAGTGAAAACACTGAAATTGGATTTTTTCTGAAATTTGTAAATTCAACTTAAGAGTTGATCTTTTGCATCAACTCGATAAAGCTTAATTTTGTGCATTTATTAGTTCGAGCATAATGTTTTTGAAGTTGGTAGTTTAAAGAGGCTAATCCAAATTAGTGTAAACATGAGGTAAAAATTATAAAGGTTATACAAGTTTAACAATCAATTTCATTAAATTGAACGATTCTATTACTTGTTTCTCGTTTCTAATTTTCTTAAGAAATCTAAACATTTTACAACTAACAATCAAAACAAGTTTTTTCTTTCTTGTTCCCATTTCCAATTTATTTCAAAACATAAATAAGATGCTTGAGCCATGCAAAACGTTACCAAATGGATATCTATATTGTTTAAAAACTTGCAAACCATAGCAATTAATTTTAGGTTAAATAAACCATTTATACCTTATGGTTCGCTCTTGTTGTCTCGTTAAAATTTGAGATTTGACCAAACTAAGAGGAATAAATTAAACCTTAACCTTAAAAAAATAAATATACCAATTGCATCAATACCGTCGTAATGTAGAGCTTCATAGATTTTGTAAAACTCGAAAAACAAAAGGGAATAGATATGAAGATGTAATATTATACTACAAACATAAATACCTGTGTTCCAGAAAAGCAGAGACAGGCAGGAGATGGCCTCAGCAATAAATTCAGCTCCAGGGCTCACTGTCGGTAAAAGCCAAGGCCAAGGGTTGCGTGGAAACCTCAGCTTTCTTCTGTCGGCGGCGACCCTAAAGGCATTTAATAAAAATAGCAGCTCAAAAACTCCCACATTTTTCCTATTGGAACACGTGGCACATGGACCCCACCAACTGAAGAAACTAGTCCTGACCTGTTTGTTTAAAAGAAACAGCCCATTTGGCAAAAATCCATTATGCAAGCAGCAACCTTGTCCATTGGAACTTAAAATGAAGGTATTTGAAACAACTTGAGGGGGGAAGAAGAAACTGCAGTCTATAAAAGAAGGGTGGGGGATGGGGGGATGACACTTTTTTCTTAAGGATTACAGTACATCCAGAAACTTGGAAGAGAGCAAACGACGAGAAAAGACGAAACTTAAAACAGAAACAAACAGGTCAGTTGATGACGAAGACGATGATAAAAATAAGCCAAATAACTGGGGGGGCACCCAGAATTCATCCGTCTGGGAATTTTATAGATGAGCCAGTCTACATTCTATCCTAATCTCCTGTTAATGTCTTCAGGCCTATAGCTTTCTAACTAATAGTAGGGTTCCAAGCCAACATTCTGCACAAGCTGAGTCGGTCGTCTTCTGTGATGATATTGACTCGAAAACATGTCCTCCGTCGTAGCCAGATCACCGTTCTTCTGACGAGCTTCATTGACCAAAAAAAACAAAACCCAAAAGGGAAAAGAAAACCATCAATGAATTCAGTCAGTTACATGTATGAGATGAATAACTACAGGTACTTAATTAAATTGATACGCGCTAATCATGTTCCACAGTTCTCATATTGGAACTTTGTACTGAATTATCATTCGGAGGAAAAAGTTAGACCAACATGAAACCAAAGATATTGCAAGAATATCGTCCCCTGCAATCTTATTACGAGAAGTATTTAACATAATTATTCAGAAATAGAAACCATTCATTTAGCAAGATGCGCTTTGTCAATTGTTCACTTCTAACCATAATAGAAATTGAAAAAAACAACATTTCAATCAACGACTGCCATCCCCATATGAATGTATTGATATTACCTAATGCATGGTCCAAGTATGTTGGAATTCTTGTTTTTATGTTAATCAAAACTGTTATAATTTGCAACAGTGTAGTATGCAGGTCAGTAATGGGTCACTGGCGGTAAATAACAAAATATGGACTTACCTGCCCAGTGCCCAGAAACACTAAGATAACCAAACCACAATAACTAAACAACAGTATTACAGGAAAATAAAGCAATAAGAATGCTACGCCATTACCATATTTCAAAAACTCAGTCCCTAGGTCTCATAATCGTATCTCTTTTGGCATCTATCCAAAAAGTAATGGTAGGGTAAGTATGGAACCATTTACACTTATCCTATAATATTATTACCAAGATGAACATTTAATGTTATTCAATGACCATAAATGACCAAGAGGCAGGAAATTGAAGCTGTTTAATACAGCAATGATGACCCACAAATTTAAAATATAATTGAACTTGACTGCATTTTTACCACCACACAACATGCTTCTATATTACAAGTACTTCCAAATATAAGTATACAAATGCATATACATACAAACATCCATACAAGGAGAATTAAGAAGCCCATTTTGGTTCTTACCTGCCAATGTGTACCCTGGGATCCAATGTCCACCACAAATTACCGGCAGTAGATTGCCTGGTCAATATGGGGTGGGATTTGTTTTATTTCCGTCCCAAGTTCTTGTTCAATCCTGTACCTGTTGTATGAAAAATCACGTTTCAATGCATCTGAATGTATGATGATGGCAGTAAACTAAAATATCCTTTAAAAAATACATACAAATTGAAACGATCCTCATAGGTGATTAAATTCACAGCTAAGCCAAGATGTCCAAACCTTCCAGATCGCCCAACCTGCAAGTGAAAACAATTATTAAAAGATATGAGAATAGGCACATCAAAAGATTCAACAGGAACTGAAAGTGACACGTACCCTATGTAGATATGTCTCTGAATTCTTGGGAAAATCAAAGTTAATAACGACATTTACTGCTTGAATGTCTATTCCTCTTGTAAATAAATCTGCAGTTGTGTCCCATATGAAAAGAAATTAGTTGAGGACAAGTGGGATGGTGAATTTTGCCTTCTCATGGTAAAACAATCCAAAAAAATAAGTAAAAGATAGCACATTCAGAAAGAGAAAAAAGAAAAATGTACAGTTCAACAAGATGCAAATATATTATAAAGGATGTTTCATGTAAAAAAATATAGTTTGTGTACGCATGCATGCATGTATAATCATGCACACACAAATGACATACCAGTACAAACAAGATTTCTACATGCACCATTTCGGAAGTCATGAAATACTCTGTTGCGATGATCTTGCAGCATCTTTGCATGAATATAGAAACAAGAATAACCAAGTTCTGTTATTTTCTTGGCTAACAACTCAACTCGATTTACCGAATTGCAGAAGATAATTGACTGGTTAATTTGCAGCTGCAGATAGAAACATAACTAAATGATTTACCCAGGAAAAGAGAATGTAGGGAAGGCAACCAAGTAAAAGAGGCTTGCTTGGAATCAAACCTTAGAGAAAAGAGTATTAAGGCAGTGAACTTTTTGTCTTTCTTCAACAAATGCATAGAATTGGGTGATACCCTTTAGAGTGAGCTCATCCATTAAGTTTATAATATAGGGCTTGTGAAGATATCTATCTTTGAAGTCCTTCACAGTTACAGGAAAGGTTGCGGAATACATAAGAATCTGCCGATTAGCAGGCAAAAAGCGAATCAGCTGCTCTATTGAGGGTTGGAACTCTGGAGACAAGAGCTTGTCGGCCTGAGAAACAGAACAAAAAAAGGATTAGCATTTCAAAATTTGTTACCTACATAAAAGATTATAATTCCTACTCATACAACATACAGAAATTTTTACAATTTGGGAGTTGTAAGATTTTCTTGCATTTAATTCCTTCACATCATTCTCGAGAACATAGGAATGGAAATACAATTAATACTAATATCCTTGTCGCTCAAGACAAAAAAGTTCAATCTATATACTCATACAAACGCTCAGCTTGCACAACCCTGCGGCACAATATTACAAGACAGATTCATACTGAAAAATAAAAAGACATTGAAATCAAAGCCACTCATTCATGAATTCCAGAAGCTAAATTTAATTGCATTCACATCTCAGGTATTCACCTCATCCATGATAAGCATAGAACAGTCCTTCAGTACACAGACACCTTTTTTTGCAAGATCTAATATCCTTCCAGGAGTTCCAACTAATAAATGAACTGGTTGATATAATCGCATGATATCATCCTTTAAACTGGTACCACCCGTTGTAACCATAACTTGAATATTCAAATTCTTTCCGAGTTCCTTACAAACTTGTGAAGTTTGAAGAGCCAACTCTCGAGTCGGTACGAGGATAACAACTGTCCATATAAAGGGAAAAAACAAATGTCAAAAAAATAACAGAACAAACCGAGAAGGGATTAAGCTGAAGGAAAGATTTCCATAGAAATGTGGCATAACAGCTATTAATACGAGTGACCATGCATGAAAAAATAACCGCTCATCTTCAATGACTCAGCAGAATGACAGATGTTAAAAATTATAGCAATAGTATAAATTACTACTGTGGAAAAAAAATAATAGTGGTTGAAATTAGGACAAGCCAGAGAAAAGATATCCACCTTCAACATTTCTTTAGATCATGAGGGTGGACATACTGAGTAGGTCGTGCATGGAACTCAAGTGGCTGGTTGTGTGGAGGGGTGGGTTTTTGGTGGGAAAGAATGGAATCCATCTCAAGGATTTACAACTTGCGGTGATGCTTATATTTTTTCTTTTTGGACATTAACAAGCTAGTGTTTTCATATCTTAGATATATCCAGAAGACCGTGAGAGCAATACTCAAGAAGAGCACCAGCTTTGCAGCCAGCATTAATGCCTAGTGGAGGAACTGTACAACACAGCTATAAAGTTTTTCTATCAAATTTCTTGCGTGATAAAAACTTGGATAAGCGTTGCAAATGTTTGGGATGGTAATCATGCAAATTGACATTTGAAGTTTAAAAGGAATCTCATCAATTTGAAATTTAGAGAACAGATCCATCTTTAAACATAATATGAGATTGGCAAGAGCAGGTCAAGAACAAACCTTGGATTACATTGTTATCCTGATCAATCTTTTCCAATGCGGGAATGCAAAATGCAGCGGTCTTTCCAGTTCCATTCTTTGCTCTAGCAAGAATATCACTGCCAGTTAAAGCAATTGGAATACTTTCTTCTTGAATGGGAGATGGTCTTTCAAAGCCTTTCTCGTAGATTCCCATGAGTAATTCACGTTTTAGAAAATAGTCCTCAAATTCATTTCCTTTGGTAGCCGTCACATCCTGGAATTGGATAATGGGCAGATTAGATGCTGACAAAATTAGCCACTTTCTTATACAGAGGCCCGTGAGTATTTCCAGTTTGCATGAGCATTAAAGAAAACAAACTGAAGAAACAGAATGACATAATAACAATAATCTGGCATGCCTGGGTATATGGATTAATCAGAGCATTGAGTCATTAGAGGATCATTAGAAGGATACCTCGGTTTTATACCGTGTATCAGGTGGTGGAATCTTTAACCTTGCCTTCCAATCTTGTGAGCTACATGGAAAAGGAGAAATTAATCGATAATAATAATCATTTTCGATGCACGCCAAGCAATACAATTAACTGTACCAAAATTCAAAACCTTTCATGTTGATAAAAGATATTTTATAAGATATAAAAGTTTCCTAACATAAGAATGTTGACCTATATACAAAATCCTCTGTCAAAAGAAATAAGTGCAAAATACCACAAGTGGCACCCAGAAAAAAGAAATGAAACAAAGAGCGGAGACCCTAAAATTTTGACTATACCCGATGCTTATTACGCTAGATACAGAGAGACGGAGAATCGGATCCGCCAGAATAACAAAATTAACTATGGGGCCCCCTTCTACATAAAATCAAACATACACACGCATCTCATTCCCACATCATAACTCAGGCCCCGAAATGGTGGTATGAGCATACAGAGCGATGAATCCCATCATCTTATACACATGCCCCATAAAAAATAATGCATTAACGGAAACATAAAGTCTTTCGTGTATTTAACACGAACCTCGAGTCAACAGCCTCCGACTGCACGGTCTTCTCAACCTCGTCAACGCCGGTATCGGCAGGAGCGCCACCTAACTGGTTCCTTTTCAGCCATTGTTGGTGTTGTTGGAGCTGTTGGTGCTGGTGATACTGCTGATTCGGCGCCAAATTTCTTTGTACGTATTGCTGCTGGTGTGGTCTTGACTGAAACGAAGGGCTCGCATTCATGCCTCCGCCTCGCCCAGCGCCGATCCCGGGTGGATACCTTCCCCTATTGTTCATCACTAGTCACACTGATCAAGACTCGCGACCCTAACGACGTTCAAAAAAAAGCGGGAGCTAGGGTTTCCGATCGAATGATTGAATGACGACAAAATAAAGAAGAAATCTTACGAAAACTACCAAGAAGATCGAAGAAGGAAATAATCGACTACAAAAGGTTCCGCTCAAGTTCACTAACGAAGCCTACAATTTATACATGACCAAAAATCCGCTAGTTCTCGTATTGGCGGGGCGGATAAAAGGCAAATCTGAAGACGAAAAATGGAACAAAAGAAACGAAAAAAACCGGAGAAATTTGTACAGATCTAGGTCTAGAAATGGCAGAAATTGCAGTAATGGAAGAAATTTACAGAGCAATGAAGTAGAGATTTTGATCGTAGAGCCCGCGGCGGATTCAGACGAAGGCGAGAGCGGCCGGATTTTTCTTTCGTCAATGTTGTTTGGGTCGTTTGACGATGGAGTGGAAGTTACTATCGGAGAGCTCCTAGGGCATCCGAGGAAGTGGGTCTACCAATTTGCAGAATGGTCCTTCTTTAACTTTTTATTTGCATATAGAGACTGAAAGATTCTTTTATTTTCACTTATTTCACGTTTTCTGTCCTTGTTGATTAATTTTATAATGTTGTTCAATAATTTGGAGGATTATTCCATTGCCCTCTCATTTTCCTTCTTAAATTAGTCTTGAATCTTGACATTATCCTTTGCTGTGTTTTTTTTTCCCTAAGAAATGCTTATCTATTATTTTTTATCTTAATATAGTTTCAAAAATGGTTTTTTAATCTAGTTTTTAAAACAAAAGTCTCAATTCAATTTTTGAATGTTTATTTAAATTCGTACTTCTATTTTTTTTTATTTAGTATAACAAATATGGAAATGAGAAAATATTTTAACCAGTGAACTATGTTCATATTTACCGTAATTAATTCAAACATTTCAAATTTCTAATACATGTAATCAATGGACATTTAACACATATGTGATGTTATTTATTTGGGAAAAACAAATGAGGAGGAGTATCTTTACTAAAAATGATTAAATAAAGTAAATGGGTTTCATGTTAAATGTCCATTGGGCAACGTGCTCTATCAGCATGAAAGTGTTGCTGACAAGGCATGACCTTTTTTTTTCTTTTTTGGAAAGCCATGAGCTTTGTGAATCCATTCAATTGTTTTTTATATATATTTTTCTTTACCATTAATAAGATAATCATCCAAATAGAAAACACTAGTTTATTGTCATGAAGAAGAAGAAGAAGGAAAAAATAAATAAAAATTATCCCACAAGACATTCAACATGGTAGTGCATTTATTCGGAAAAAAAAATTATATATATATGTGGTAGTGCATTCTAATTATCGGACAAAATTGAAACCAAGTCCAAACAAAATAAAGATTACATTCATAATATAACAAAAAATGTAGCTACATCTCGAAAATAAAATAATAAAGTTATGTGGGTGAATGTCAATTATCGTTGAACTAGTTTTAGTAAATATATTGTTGTTGTTATTATTATAACCTTATGATCGAACATATATGATATAACATTTTAATAAGTTATGCTTATATTAACGATAAATATGATTTATAAGTTTGTCATTTGTTGGTATAACAACATGTGTGGGTATGAAAACGAGCATAGTTTAACGATAATTGACATATATCTCTAACCAAGAGGTTATGAGTTTAATGATCCACCCTGTACTAAAAAAAACATGTGTGGTTGAAAATTCGAACACACTACATTTTGGTCTGAAATATAAAGTTGACATATATTTTATAATTTAACATAATTATGTCAATTTAATTAATACACATTAAAAAGTTAATAGTAATTCATCGGCTTTCAAAGTCACATCGTTAAATTCACTTACCCCACATTCTTGAAATATACTTTAACAATTTCAAATAACTAATTTTCAATTGAGTAGGTCATTACCACTTAATTTTGTCAATCTAACATTACAATTATTTTTCGTACACTAAATGAAAATAGAATATTCGAACTCACGATCCATTGAGTTAAGCTTGCATCGAATCGAATTTAAAATACACGATATTAAAGTGTATGGACCAAATTTGAAACTTATGAAATCAGCCCCATTTGTGTAGTTAAAAAGGAAAAATCCATGTTAGATACTAAAAATCCATATTGAACAGAATCAATTATTTATCATTCCACTAAATCACATCGCAACAAATTCAATTATCATACAATAAAGCCTCAATAATTACTCTCTCTCTCTCTCTCTCTCGACAGAATCATATCAACACCATTATCTAAGACCTGCCATTATCAGCGGCAACCATACCTTCTGCAGCCGCCGCCGCCATGGCCGACGCCACCTCCATTCTCAAGCTCTCCACTTTCTCTTTCAACCCCGATGCCTCCAAAGCCTCAACAATCTTCTCCTTTATCTCTGCCTCCACCTTCTCAACCTCTTTCACATTCAACCCATCCGCCATTTTCGCCTTCAGTTCCTCGATCTTCCCACCAAGTTCCGCCATTTCTATGGCCCTCTCAATCTCCCCATCGATCTCCTCTTTCAAACGCTGCACCATCTCTCTCACCTCTGCCGGTGGGGCCTCGGCAGTCCTTTTGACCACTCCCACGACATCCAAATTTGCTGTCTTCAAGACATCGACAAGCTCTGTCTTGACTCTCTCGAGTTCCTCTATGAACTCTCTGTCCACTGGGGCCCCACTGGAAACAATATTGTCCCAATTATCCTTCAATTGTTTCAGTTTTGCTTGTGTCTCAGATGGGATCTTGCTGTTGATCTCTGTTTTTAGTTCCTCGCTCTTCTTCTTCTGCTCAATGAGTTTGTTAACCATGTCTAGCTTTTCAAGCTTCTGTTTCAAACCCAGATAAGAACCGGGCTTTGACAGGTTCTGCTTGAATTCTTGCATGAGTTTGTCTGATTTTTCCTTCAAACTTCTGCTGAGTGGTTGATTAGGCAACCCATTTGGGGGTTGGGAGAGTTCTAGTTTGAGAGATTCAAGCTTCTCTTGTAAGCCCATGGAGATGAATGCATTGGTCATCTCTTTGTCAACATCTTCCTTGAGTTTCTCAATCGCTTGGGATGTGATTGGATCGGATGGGCCTTTCACTTTGAGAATCTTATTCTTTAGATCCTCAAGTTCTGACTCTATGTCACCAGGCTTTGGCAGGCTGGTTTGAGATGGCATCATCTTGCGTTTTCTCTGTGGATCAATGGGAATTCCTTCTTGAAAACCACCGATATGGCGGTATTTGAGCATCCTGTGGTGGAGCAACTCTTCTGTACTCATGTTTGCTAGTTCCTGAACAAGGTCAATTTTAGCTTTTAGGTGGAAATTCCATTACAAGGAAATCATGTGAAGTAAATGGAAGGATAATACATCACTCCAGTGGATGGTTCTAATAAGGGTCCGTGATGTCTCCACGAAAACTTGTGACATTTTGACATATCTAGAATTTTCATTGTATGATGGTAAAATATTACTATTTTAAATGGAAGCTATTTTGATAATGAAAAAAGATTTTGTCAAAATCACTTCTAAACCTGTCCATTGTGGCAATATAAAAGTGATTTCGCAGCACTACCAAACATGTCTTTAATAATATAAAATATTGTTATCCTGGCTTGGGTTGGGCAAAGTTTCAATAGGATTATGAGAGAGCGTGATGGAAAGAAACGAGAACCCTAGTACTCAAATTATAAAATGGCAGGGAAAGGTCGGAATGACAAAAAAATTTCATGAAAATGACACCAAGACGTGCTCGAACCTCATTTGGTTGATACAATTCAAGGACTTCAAATCTTCAAAATAAATCACTCGAGAGACCAAAGATTACATGAAGAAGGATAACTGAAACTAGCTAGCCTCTTGGTGGGTGTTGGAATAAAGTCTAGTACTGTGCAATACAATAGTAAATAAGATAAGGTAAAGACTAAAGAGCCAATACTAAGTTTATATTTTCTGTGGTGCAAATGTGAAGATGTGAAAGATATTTACCTTCATTGCCTCGATTATTGCAGACTTAATTTGTTGGGAGGCCCATGCTGGATCAGCATGTGCACCACCAAGAGGCTCCTATAAGCAGTAATATAAATATAACATTAGTAGTGTCTAGGAGAAGCATCAGCTGAACTTATTATCAGTTGAATGTAAGCAAAACTAAAATATATCGGGACGTCTTGTCATTTTATGCATATATTATTTCTTGAAGCTCGATATCTCTCACGAGCATGGATGTAAAGTTGAAACAAATGGCCAAGCCAAGAGAACTGATATACATGGCCATGTATTCTGTCATTTATGGCAATTATCAAGTGTCTAATCGCAACACAACTCTCGTTCTACTTTTACATTATTATCTCTTCTTTTACTCTTGTTTCATACAAGAAGGAAAAAGGAAAAAGAAAAGTTAAATCAGCTTGAGAGGAAATCTTGTGAGCTCCTACCAAAGAGAGAGTTACATTTGGGCGACAAAGTTATTTTTCTTTTCTTCTTTTGTTCAGTGGAAGGTGATGCCAGGCAAGAAAATGGTGCTTTTGATGAGAGATGATAAAGGAACAATAATGCTTTCATTTCTGCAAGCACTGAAACACATAGTGACATAGACAGGTACTTACAGGGATGATACCATCAGCAATTTTGAGCCTGTAATGTTCTTGAGCTGTGATTTTCAATTTCTCAGCAGCCTGCACAAGGACGAAACTTCAAGGGTTAAACAAAAGCCGATCTTGGGTTAAAGTACGCACAACTGTCGAAATAGTCGCATACCTTAGGAGCTGCTTGAGAGGATTTCCACAAAATTGCAGCACATGCTTCAGGACTGATCACAAATACAGACACCAAAAAGAAAAAAAAAAGTCACTCGTAGAACTTACATAGATGATAGGAAAAGAAAATCTTGTTCTCTTCTGTTATCTGTTACTTCTTTAAACAGTGTTTGGGACGCTTTTAAAGTATATTTATGGAGGGCTAAAAGTCACTTAATGGTAGTGTTTGGTTAAAATTTATAAGTAAAAATACATTTTAAAATTATTTATAATCAAAAGTAATGAGAAATTTAAAAAACCGATTGAGAGCACTTAAAGTGACTTGAGATGTATTTTTTTTTTCAAAAATATTTTTAAAATAAATGTTTCACTTAAAAACACTTGTTTATAAAGGCATTCCAAACTCACCCGAAGATATCAAGCTAAGGCTTGTGTTTTTATAAGAAAAATATATATACATATTGTACCTTGCAACGTAGAAAGCAGAATTCTCCATCATGAACATTTTATTTGAACAGGCAATCGCAAGGGCTCCTCCGGAACCGCCCTCGCCAGTTACCACTGTTACAATGGGCACCTTTAGACCAAACATGGTCCTCAAGTTATGGGCTATTGCTTCACCCTGCAAAAATCAGAAAATTGTTAAGCCAATAACATGTTATTAAAGCAATCCACCAAAGTTCAATTTTCACGTTGAGATGAAAAGTGTTACCCACTTGACCAAGTTCCTCAGATTTTAGATCAGCAAATGCCCCAGGAGTGTCAACAAAAGTAAGGATAGGCAAACCATGATGATCAGCATATTTCATCATCCGTAAAGCCTTCCGGTAGCTGGTTTCCAAACAATGGTTTTAGCGAATAAATCCAATAATTGCAAAACGAAAAAAATTATGTTCTTGTCGACTTGAGATCCTTTTCCCTGAAGGTTTTCTCCTTATTTTATTTATATTTCATAATTCATACAACATAAAGCAACTAGTAACACAACATAAACTTGATAACCAGGGTATTGAGGCTCACTTCTTGCACTTCGTTCATGCGCTACCCCGCTAATCTTTGGAAAGGTTTCGCCCACCCAAGACTTGCTCTTAAGGAGAACAAGAATTCTAAATTAAGTTTTCCACCTGAGCCCAATACTTTGGAGGGTATTTCCAAACGTCCCAAGTCCTTCCCATCAAGGTCACCCTTGAGGGCAATAGAGATGAATAGTAGACTCCAACGTTGAAATCCTAGACAAAATATTTTATTTTGTACTAATTCTAATCTCCCTACTTATTGGTTTAAAATCAGAGAGACTCTTTAAGCTTACCCATGAGGCGTTGGCATAGCAAAGTTGCGAAGAATGTTCTCCTTGGTATTCCTACCTTTCTGATGTCCTATACACATGTAGCTTTTACCTTCAATGCTCCCAATGCCAGTAACAATTGCTGGATCATCGTACCCCGCACGATCTCCATGGAGTTCTACCCACTGATTGAAAATAAAGAGATACAAGTTACATTCAAATGTTATAAATAAGATGTAAAAAGTATAGGAGGTACCTTTTCTGTGATGTTTAATATATGATCAAGAACTGTTGGTCTATTGGGATGTCGGGCAATTGATAGTCGCTGAATTGGTGTCAAATGTGTGTACAAATCTTTGAGAGCCTGAACTTGAAACAGAGAGCAGAAAAAGTATTTAGGACAGAAATATCAGAATATCAGGATAAGGCAAAACGATGAAGTCAAGTAATACAGGGCAGAAAAACTCAAAACATACCATCTGATACTTGTTCTCCAGGGTACCAATTTGATCACTGAAATCTAAACCAGTTTCATCAGCCAAATTTCGGATCTGAAAGAAATAGAGGGAGAGAGAGTTAAACACAAGACACAATATGAGAAGCTCCTATACTGCTTTGTGCCCTACTGATATCTCGTGTCATAGGACCATGTGAAAATTTACACTGTTACTGTGCCTTAACCAGAGATTCCCATTTCATATCCCGGTGATTTATGAACCACAAAAGGATTTTTAAATCATAACATAAAGGAAAAGGAAAAGGGGGAGGTTTTGCATGGTCTTTTACCAAGATTTAAATATGCTTCTTCACTGAGACATGCATTACTAGAAGATTTCGAACTCGTGGAAATAATGTTCAAAAGACTTCCTGAACATTTTTCAAACTCATAAAAGGAACTTACCTCAATAATCTTCTTCTCTAAATCAACCAGAGGCTTCTCAAATGGAAGCGTGACAGGTTTCGGTTTCTCGGCCAGAGGCTTGAAGTAAGACAGATAAGTCAAGTACCCACTCTTGATGTTTGGGTCAATATCATCCGGCCAGGGATAATCGTGCTTCCTCCACTTTTTAACCTTTGCAGTGACACAAAATTTGTTTCTGCTCTTAATCCGGGGAACTTTTGGATCATCCAACCAAAATCCATACCCTATTCTATGTGAACTTCTAAGGAGTTTGCTAGCCAAAGGACCTTCTGCAAAATACAAACTAGGAAATTCCAAGCAGCTATCTTTGCTTCCAACATTTCCAGATGCTAAAGATAGTGTTGTCATCTTCTTGAAAAGTCAATATATTACTTCAATTACATCCAAGAGTTCACTGGTTATATTCCTGCTCTTGTAGTTCATTTGAGCATAGCGAGGCAAATACCTTTAGAAGGCATTGTTCATTACGTCCTGTCCTAAGAACAAAAAGCAGCACAATTTCACTAAAATGGATAACAAATAATAGCATGGAGTTGAGAGAGAGAAAGAGATGCATCTTGATAATGTAGCTTTGCAAATAGATACTCACACCCTAAACCCAATGCCAAGAACTGAAATCTTGATAATGTATCTTTGCACATAAATACAAGGAAAAATCCGTTTCCATTGGCTGACTGATAGGAAATTTCTATCCAAATGACCGTTTAATCACATATAAAAACTAAATGTACGCTAACCTGTCAAATAAACTTAGTTTAGTCAGTGATAGTTTAACATGGAAGCATGGTACAATGTTCAAACCTCTGTCATTTCTCCCTAATTAATTCAAACAGCCACTTATTGAGTTCTATACTAATTTCGAAACCCACTAATGAGGGAGAATATTAAAACATATATGTAAACCATTAAATATATAATAACCCATCAGTACCTTTTTGAAATTAGTGGTAGTTTTAACAATAATAATATTTTTCACTTTTTTTCTTTCCAATCGTTATTGTCGTTTTCTCACCCATTATTTAGCTTCCATGCAAACTCTTACAGATCAAAATTACAACATCTTAGTTCACAATTCAGAGAAATATAATAGTGAGCTCCATTTTTCCAAGTCAAAGAAGCAAACGCAAACATAACTTAGCTTTCTCTAACAAAATATGTGTAATTATCAATCCCTTTGCCGCATCAAGACCATACAACAAGGAAAATCCAAAAAGAAGAAGCAATCAACATCTTAAGGGCCAAAATCCACGTTTACTCGAGAACAACCCCTTGCTTAGTTTCAACGGGATATGCTGGATAGAAAATAAAGAAAAAGGAAGGAAAATTGGCGGAGATTTTCTCAGCAACCAAACAGAAAAAAGCAAGATGAAGAATACCTCAGGCGAGTGCATTAGAAATTCGCTCAAAAATTGCAGGAATCCCAAAGAGAAGAAGCTAATGGGATGATTTGTGAAACAGCAACTGGCCAGTGGAAATGCACTTCTGAGCTTTTCGGTTATGGCGGAGGAGAAAAGAAAACGCCATGTGGGGGAATGAAAGCGCGTGAGTTCAAGCGCGACGGTGGGGGTGGTGTGAAATTGAGATTGGTCCGTGTACGCTACGCGCTTTTTAGATAATTGGTAAAAGATGGACAGGTCATCACAAATGCGGATAACTTCCCGCGGAAGTGGGGCCCATCCGGATTCATAATTATCGTTCCTTCGTTTCCATATATCCACTCGAATTGGCCATTGGCCATTGGGGGACCGTTGTGCAATTTCATGATAGTTCGTGGGGGCCACTTCGTAATTGTGATGGACTCGGTGGCTTATCAGCAATTAAAAAAAATTACTGTTTTGCTCTACTTAAGATTTTTGTTTTTACTTTTAAATTATATATTTTATTATCACTGTTAGATATACCCACCGACTTAGATAGCAGAATCTCAACTTGAACTTAACTTAACGGTAATTAACAATGATCTCTCATGAAGATATCATAAGTTCGAATTCTCTCACCTCAGAAAAATAATTTAATATTCATACCCATCAAATATTTCAAACGAGACCCAAGTATTTTAAAAAAAAATTGAAAAACTCAATGGCTAATCAATTATTAAGACAATACACATCAACACTAAATTATGATAAATTAGCTAAGAAGAGTAATAATCACTCATTAATTTACCATTGAATAACCAAAACCTAATTTTCTTTAGTAAGTAATGAATATTTCATTGATGGGAATGGAATACAGAGAAACTTTGCAAGTAAATAACATCAAAGGCTGTATAATAATATATCTACTTGGATGAAGAACTCCAAAAGAAAAGCACCAAAAATAAATAATAGAATCCCAAAAAATGGCTCACAAATTGCATTAAATCAGAGAAACAGAGAGAAATCTGTTTTTTCCACAACTCAATCACTGTTATAAATGATTCAATAGACATACATTACATTCTCTTGCAAAACTTTCATCAAGTCGAATTGTTACACAAATTGTTAATTGATTTTCATTTCTTCGCCCTCATTAGAAGTAACATAAATTTTTATCGGGATTGGTCTCGAAAACACATCGATGAAATCACCGAGAACAAGAAGTCGATAGTGTGCTACTCTATCTCAAGCAAGGTTGATAGTGTTCCCTAAGTTCTAACTAAGCCAACAAGAATTTCTCACTGCTGCAAATTAGATGGAGTATGTTTGCTACAAATTCACTCTTGCAATCTCATGTGGTGATCATGTTGAACTGAAACCTGGAAAGCTGCTGCGGGATTGTCGATATAACAGGTCCATATCTCTGCGATCAAGTACGAAAGTGAAAACTATCTATTAGCTTTTGAAAAGCATGATATTCTGAGACTAAAGGGATTTACATGTACTATCATCCAGCATGCAGAAAATCCACTACATACTAATTGCTTATAATTAAGCAGGCTTTTGACATTGCCCGACATGCTAAAAATCACTTAAGAATATGCAAAAATTTCGTTTTCCGCCTTTTTTTCCCTCCTGTGGGTCTACAAAGGGAAATTCATCTTACCTGAACATTGTCGTAGAGCTCAAACAAAGGAACTGCAAGCAGCTTCAAATTCTTAGGAACGGCGAAGTACTCTCTTTCAGACAAATGGACAATGAAAAGCTTTTTGCATTCCTGGATCATCAAAAACGCTTATTAGGATTGTCTCTTTTTCCTCAAGGAAAAAAAATATCCAAGATTAGTCAAGCTTAAGGAAAAAAAATGTTCCTAAAATGGATTTCTGCTCTCTTTTTCCTTTTCCTTTTTTGGCTGGATGTCCAGAGGGAGAGTTGAGCCTAACCTCGTCCCATGACCTCTCCATCCTGGTAAAGATTGTACCATTTTTCTCAAGCCAAATACCCCAAAAAATAGCAAAAAAATAAAAAATGCGTGCGATAGGATAGACCAGGGAGGATTCATAAGAACCTCCTCTCCTCTCCTCTCTATTCTGCGCCGTCTCCACAAAACGATTCCATAATGATAAAGCTAACCAAAGTAAGATAAAAATCATGGACCAGGACCTTCCCCCGCCTCAGAAAAAGTGAAGATAAAGAGGCTACCCAATTAACTGGAATGGAATAAATTTTTTTTAATGAAATGCCAAGCTTTGATTAGCTAGTATAGTGAATTCCAATTGAAATAATCTTCGTAAAAGATTTTTTTTTTCCTGAAATTGATATATTCTTCCCTCTAGGGAAAAAATACATAAAATTTAAGAGGAAGGCGTATGTGAAAGAGGAGGATGGGCGGAGGGGGAAGAGAGAGAGAGATCCATATACCTTGGGTTTTGTAATATGAGGAGGACAATAAGGATACATAACAGTTTCAAAGTTTGGTCTCCACCAGATGGCCACACATTCACCAATCTGCAGGAAATTTGCAATTATGAATCTAGCTCCTCTTAGGAACATGCAAATACACAACTTGAGTAAATAGATTGCAACAAGCATATAAGAAATGATGCAAACCTGCCAATCAGGCTGGAGGGCAGGTGAATTTGCACCCAGTTTGCTCGTTAGTTTCCTCTTTAAACCTTCAATTTCTGCAAATGTAAAATTAAACATGAGAGGGGGGGAGAGAGAGAGAGAGAGATTTTACTCAGTGGGATGTGAGGAGCTGCAATTGTATATAAAATCTTACCATTTTCTCCTGGCTTCAAACGGCCACCAGGGAGCTTGCAAAAGGTATTTCCTATTTGCAGAAGTAGAATGTGGGGGTGCTTATGTTCTTGCACCTGTGGAATTGAAGACCAGATTGTAGTAGGAAAAAAAAAGGATAAAGTCGCATCATATTAAAGTACATAACTCTTGAATATCAGTCCATAAATTGCACCAATGATCGACTAAAGAGAAAGCTTGAAGAATTTAAGAAAGACTCAATGCCCAACTCAAAAGGTAGAAAACTGGTCTAATTCTGTGAACACTGTCATTTGGAAATTATAGGCTGAAAAAAAATTATAGAATCTCTAAAAACACCGAAGGGATCGGAGAGGAGAATCCAAATCAATGCTGGGTTTAACAGCTACAGCACCTTACTCAGATTCTTCAACGTTGTCTCACTGTAGCCTTGTAGGCACAAAAGTTAGAAATATCATCCAAATACTACAAATGGTTAATCTTGATGGAGTTTCTGACTGTGTAAACTCCAAGAAAAACCTGGCTGAAACTGCGTCCAGCATTCCACTTAGCAGAAAGCACATCTCTCACTAATACAAACAAAAATGAGATAATGGATCTAATATTTGGAGGCTGAAATTTTTACCCTAGGTCAACCATTGACAAAAAATAGAAAAGTAGTGTTAGAGATGTGGCTCTAGTTCCTATCTACCTGTTTCACCCAAAACCTTTCTTATGAAGCTCTGAGTCTCTGACGTAAGAAAATACCAGTCAATGTATGTTTGTCTCTTCTTTATAACCTAACTGGTTCTGAGTGATGGTCATTGGCAGCATTTGCTTTAGTCTTTCAACACACGCTCTAGCTAAAAGCTCACAGATGGTAGCGGTTAAGCTGAATCTAAATCCTCAAACCTCTGTCACCATGGTCTTCTTAGAGTCAGGAGATAAGGCAAGCATAATTTCCATTGGAGACAAGCATTAAGAAGACCATTTTTTGAAATAAGTAATGTAACAGCTTCAGAAGATTCTCTTTAATTATGTTCCAAGACTTCTTTAAAAAATTGACAATGCGTCCAGTCCATCACAACCTAATGCTTTACCTCTTTTTCACCACCAGTTGAACCTGGCTTCTTTAATAATTTCTTATTGCTAGACCCAATGGGATCTCAATCAAACCCTTCAAGGTGAAAATTTATTCCTTCAACTCTAGAATAGAATAACGAGCAGAGATCCTCTTCAGTTCTCAAGCTGGCCTATTTAACAAAGGAAGTTGTCTTCTACCGTTACCATCTTACTAGTAGAATGACATTTAGACAATGCCTAGGTTGGAAAGCACAATGTGATGCCCTGAAACCATACTAGTTCTTCCAAGTACATGCAGTTGGACTTTAATGTCATCCGCAAATATCAGAAATAAATTGTTATTGCATGGTAGGAAAGTCACACATCATCAACTTCAATGAATTTGTTCAAAATTTTGCCCCTTAATTTTGGCTTATATTCTGTATTTTAAATCCAACTTAAGCTTGTCTTGTATCATACAATAATTTGGATAATTTTGGAGTTGCTTTCCCAAATTCATTATCAGTTACATTTGACAGAGGTATTAAAATATCTACCTTAGCTTTGAAACCAGAAACAGATTCATAAATATTTTCGACACTAGATGTCATGAGTACAATTTAAAAAAAAAAAAAAAATCCAATGCTCATTTTTTATAAGAAACAATGTATATTCATCGAGTATCAAAATGTACAAGAGCTTCCACATATTATAGCAAAACTTTTTCTAAACGGAAGCAATCATAGGTTGAGAGATCCAATGTTAAAAGTAAACAAATATTTCGTTGAATGCATACTTTTAGGAGAATTTAAAAGATGATAATGATGGAAGTTCAGATTTAGTCATCCTCGTCTTTCATTTAGTACCACTTCAAGTAAATGAAAGGAGAAGAAAGGATTCAACAATACAACTTTTCTACTTGCATACATATATGTCTATATTATATATAAAGGATGTATATGAGTGGTAGTATATGTCTTTTGCCTCTTCAATACTATAATTTGTTATAAAACATTTGTAGTGATTCCAATTCAAAGAATCTCTAAATCGAATGAAGACATAAACTACGACACCAAACTAGTACGCCCACACCCTAATGGTATATTAAACATGGAGGGAAGGGAACGAACAATGGAGATGAAATATGATGAGATACGCACTAACCAGCAGAATTGCTTCAACACTAGTCCTCATGCCTTCCTTCATATAGCTGTAAACAAAACAAAAGTACAAGTTACTCACTCCACTCGATGTCCCTCAAAATCCAGCAAATGAAAGATAAATCTTTCAGGCCAGAACCAAAAAAACGTCAAAGAAAGAGAGAAAATAAACAACAATAAGAAGGCGCTATGTTTATATATAAGCAAGTAGCTTGAATAAAATCGATTATAAACATTTCACACAGAGCTTTCTCACTAAGTACCGATCCGCGATGTTACTTCTATAAGCAACTTGCACATTTTTTAAATCGAAAAAAAAAACAAAAAATATTGTAGACTCAGCTCTCGTCTTGTTCCATGTCGCGATTAAGATACGGGAAAAATCATAAAATCAACAACTTTTTTCCGTGATTCAGCGTAGAGCTATACACATAAAATGCAAAATGACAAATAATCCACCATGAGAGACGGCCGGAGTTCCTAATTCTCATGAACAACAAACCATAGGACGATGAAAAATAAAGAGTTTAGGGTTTAAGGAATCGAGTTAATTTGCAGTACTTGACTTTCATCCGAGCAAGACGATCGGCGACGGAGGTGTCCTTCTCGAGCTTCGGCTCTTTGGTCCCGAAGGTGTAGCTGGAAAGCGGGTAGGTGTTGACCACCGGCGACGTCACCATGGCTCCGTTCACTCTGCAGCTGCCGGAGAAAGTAGAAAACCTGCGATCAGTCCCCGCGAGCTCTGCGGGTTTAATTGGTATAATGGTCTTTTAACGAATCAGATTTTATGTAATGACCCCCAAAATGTTTTTGTCAAAATGACTCTGATTTTGTAAAATGGCCCTAGTCTAATGCATGATCATTGGCCTTTTTATAAAAAATCGAATAATTTTTTTTTGCGCAAAGGAAACAATTGGCCTATTGATTTTTTTATTTATTTAAATATTTGTATCTCATGGTGTTCAATTCCTGACAATTAAAAAAGATAAATGCAAAAAAAAAAAAAAAATAACTAGTTATCAAACTTGGGAAGGAAGAGAATTAGGGTAGCAGTACATCCACTACNAAGAAATTTTTTACATTAAAACTACTAAATAATATATAATATAAAAAGTTATATTTTTTTTTTCAGAAATAAACCGATCGGATAGTCGTCTCCAACTCTATTTTTAAAATAAGTTTCATTTACAAAAAATTATTAAAAAAATCCTAAAAATAGCACCGAAGGAATTTGAGTATAATTTGATTGATTTAGGTGAAAAATATAAGAATTTTTTTTGTTTCTTATAAAAAAAACACTTTTTTACTAAGCCATATTTCTGAATGGAATATACGTCTCCGGAGAGTACAAAGGGAATTTGGTCCATCCAAGGGTTGAAATTCAAACCTTAATTCGTTGAATTAAAAAAAAAAGGAAAAAAAAAAGAAGAAGAACTAAAAAATAACTAAGGGGTATTTTTGGAAACAAGAACGCCATTTTGACAAAATTTATTATTAAAGTTATTTTGACCAATATGATTTCCGAACGTGACATTTGGTCAAAATTCTCCTCGTCGATTCTACTGAAGCAGGACTGTGCGATCAAAGTCTCATTCGAGGCAACGCATTCTTCCTGAAGGCAGGATTCGAGGGGTAAGCCGGCGTTATATAGTCTATTCAGTTCGTTATGTTTATCATCTTTCAATTGATAAATACCACGGTTCATTTTGTTATTTATGGTAACTACCATGGTTCATTTTGTTGCTGCATTATTTTTAATGCGTGCATGTGTTTGGGTGTACGATCTTAATTCTTAAAGCAAGAAATGTTAGCTCACTAGCTACACGAGCTTAATTTTGGTCTGAAAATCGATCATGGTGCTGCATACTGGACAAGTAGCTGGAAGAAATGGGCGTTTGTTCTTATGGCATCGAGAGAAATGTGGTTGTAGAAAACTCCATATTGAGATTTGAAATGGTAGTGCAATTGGGTATTTGGAATATGGTTGGTTTGTTAAACTCTCTCACAGTAAGCTCCTTCCAAGTCATTTCCTTATTGCAAACAATCAACAGATGACTATAGAAAACTGCCGGAATATGGAAGAGGGACCCGGAATTTAAATTTAGAGGATAAATCTTAATGAAAGAGAAATGGTTGAGGCGTCTAGATTGTTGTTTATGCTGGGAAATTTTTATTTAGGATAAGAGAATGACAACATGGCGTGGCTGCTTGAAAATGCAAGTATATTTCTATGCAAGTTTATGGTTAGGGATTGCATACTTGTGAGAAAATACGAGAAAATAACACTGGGTGGCCCTTGTCCAAATTGGTGCTGCGGCGGGTGTTAGTCACATTTTTCGTCCTTTAGCCCGAAAGATTTGGACTCAAAATTGTGGAGGAGTTTAGTTATTAATATGCTTTTCCCATCAAGGTTAAAGATCTTATTGGACAGCAGTTGGTGTTTTCTTCCTAGAAAAAGTCAAGATAACATTTCAAGTTGAATTATCTATATAAGGATTTTTTAACGACCTAATTTTGTATGATTGGCGAATGTCTTTGTAGTCTCATTTGGTTTGTGCAGATTCCTATCTCCCTTTTCTTGTAGTTTTGCACTCGGAACAAAAATAAGAACCACTTGCTCTGGTGTTACCAGGTGCTAATGGAGAGGCAGGGTAAAGATGACTGCACGATTAAGCAGGTTATAATTTTCAATCTTAATTTCTTATCCATTTCCTGTAAGCAAGTTGATGAAAGAATGGTTAGAGCTAAGGCGTTGGTGTCCAATGATAGAGAGTAAATCCCCAAAAGCGTAGAGACAAGGTGTACATCGGCTGTGGAGCTGGATTTGGAGGGGATAGGCCATCAGCAGCTCTTAAGTTGCTTCAGAGGGTCAAAGAACTCAACTATCTCATACTTGAATGTCTAGCAGAACGCACTCTTGCTGATCGTTATCAAGTTATGTTGTCTGGTGGCAGTGGTTACGATTCTAAGAGTATGTCCATTTTTATTTTTCGTATTTAGCTTACAATATATTTATCAATTAAAACTTATCATTCCTTTCTCGTATTTATATTTCTTGAAAGTTTTAAATATGGTTGGGCTGGTTGCTTTTTGTTTAGAAGCTGATGAGTGGTTCTCTATAGTCGTTGGTAGTATATCAGTATTACTTGAAATATTGCTCCTTTCCATGTATTGACCTTTCCAAATAGTGAATTTGGTAGAAAATTGTTGTTTATTTTGCGTGACAATGTTGTTAGTCCGTGCTGTGTGCATGGCTTCACGCCTCATTTTTTCCTTGTGTCCAGTTCGAAGTTTACTTTTAATTCATGTATTTTGAAATGATTCAAAGACAATTTCATTCCTGTGTTGGCTTTCATACACTGATTTTGAGACACCTTATCTTCACACTCAATTTCAGGATCTATGTAATGAACCATCCAAGAAGTCAGTTGGCCTTTTTCTGGCTAGTTGCTGACTAATTTTTCTTGTTGGTTAAACTAACTACCCTGGCAGTTACTCATTTTGTATCAAATTCTACAACTTTAATGGACTGAATAACAGAAGTATTATAAATGTACAAGAATTGTACCTAATAAGGTTTCTTCAGGATCAGTTATTGAACTGCAATGTCAATATGTGTTTTCTTATCCTGTATCTCCCGGCATACATGTGATGTCAAGTCATTTTGTAAGAAGAGTAATGAGATTTTTTGTGTGTTTTGTTCTTGACTATTATTTGAATAATTGTGTAGTTTCAGATTGGATGAAGTTGCTTCTTCCTCTGGCTGTGAAGCGAAATATTTGCATAATTACCAACATGGGTGCAAGTAAGACATTGAGATCTGAATAAATTTCAAAGTCTAATTTTGCTTAGTTTCTAGGGTGATTGGATTTGGCGATTATTTATTTATCATCTTACCCTTTTTTTTTCTTTCTGGGTAGTGGATCCCCCTGGGGCTCAAAAAAATGTTATAGAAATAGCAGAAAGTCTGGGGTTGAGTGTTTCTGTTGCGGTTTCTTATGAGGTTTCAGTAAAAGAACCAGGTAACTATTCTTCACTAGTTTATGAGGTTTTAATGGATTATAAGTCCAATCAGGGTTCAATTTCCAAGAGTCACTGTCTTGTCCTCCAAAATGGTGGCCAAGTTTTCAAGTAAGTTAAATACATTTTTATAAGTAATCTTACATACCAATTTTTTATCACTTTAAGTTATGATAGAAATACTGTTGTTTTTTACATACTCACTCTAGGATCCTCACTCAGAAGTCATATTTTAGAAGGTGTAAGAATTGGTGCTCTTGCGTGCATTTTTATTTAGCTTTATTGTCAGTTGAAGATAATGATGTTCCCCTCCAACATATTAGCAGTGAAATCAAGTTCTATTTCCCGGTACATATTGTATAACATGACTTCACAGAATATCAATTAAAAACAATTGGTAGTTTTGTATATGGCAGCCACTCAAGCAACTTTCTTTTCCTACTTTTTTTTTGTCCCTCGTTAGTATTTTACTTCTTTTTTAGAGGAGAAATCATTAGTATTTTACTTCTAGAAGGTGGAGCTCATCGTTGGTTTGATAAATGAAAGGCATTAGCACATATCTGGGAGCAGCTCCTATTGTCGAGTGCCTGGAAAAGTACCATCCAAATGTCATAATTACTTCACGAGTTGCAGATGCGGCCCTATTCTTGGCTCCAATGGTAGGAAATGATTTCTGCATGATGTCAGCACAAACTTTTAGGAGTGATTCATACTTATGTTCCCTTTTTCAGTATAACTTTGTTACATTGAGAAGCAATGCTGTTTTTTTAACGAGAATAGCAAGCACTTTAGAAAAGTTTCTTAGTGCCTCTCCTTTGGGGAAGAGAGAAATTTAAGGATTTTAGGGGTTTCGACCTCTTTTTTGAGCCTCAAACAAGGAGTTACAGATAATATCTCCAATTGATTGTGATGGAAGAAATGTTTAATCAATAGAGGGATTGGTTAAACAACATCTAAGATTATATGTAGTTGGGAAAAATATAAAGAATATTGAAGAGTTGGATTATATCCATTGTTTTGGAGAAAATAGTGAAGTTAGTGGTGATGTATACTTCATGTTATGATGGATCGCAATTTTTATCACATAAAAAATTTTAACTCCTTACTTTAGGATGTTTTGTAGTATTTCTAAGACAACGACTCAATGACAATGTGGCATATATTTAGGTCTATGAACTTGGTTGGAACTGGGATGATTTTCCACAGCTAGCTGAGGGAATACTGGCTGGTCATCTTCTGGAATGTGGCTGTCAACTTACAGGGGGATACTTTATGCATCCAGGTCCACTTCTCCTTCCAACCCACCCAAACCCCGAGTCATTGTCTATGGAGCATGGAACTCATAGTTGTTGTTTGGCTGCATGATTCGAACAATCTTTAAATGTTCTCTTCTGTAGGAGACAGGTATAGGAGCATGTCTTTCCAACAGCTTCTGGATATATCACTGCCTTATGCTGAAATTAGCTCTGATGGAAAAGTCTATGTAGCCAAGGCAGAAGAGACTGGAGGTCTTTTGAATTTCAGTACTTGTGCCGAACAACTTCTGTATGAGGTCGGTGACCCGTCTGCTTATATCACCCCTGATATGGTAAGTTAGATGTTCTATCGGACTACTTTTGATGGATCGAGAACAAAGGCAACATATAAATGTATCTGGCCATGAATGCAGGTGGTTGACTTTAGCAATGTTTCGTTCTGCCCTATTTCCAGCTCTAAGGTCTTATGTTCCCGAGCAAAACCATCTATTCAAGGAGTTCCCGAGAAACTCTTGCAGTTGGCTCCAAAGGTATTTTATTTTCGTAACGACCATATAGCAATTTAACAGATGGGTAAATGAGTCCATGTGATTTAGGAGTTTGAATGAAAAACACAAACTACCTTGACTAGGAGACTATCCTTAATTTGAATGCCGTGGATTGGTTTAAACTAAGGGATCAATTGGAAGACTTTTTTAAGGAAAAGGTACGTATATTAAGGTATGCACAAACATTTCCAACTTGGCAAACGAATTTCTCGGGCAATTACTCCAAAATGTTGTTGATAACTAGCTGGAAAACATTTTAGGATCCCAAAAATTTTTAACCGGAAACCATGTGGAATATGTGTTTGTCCTTTAGTATTTACTCATTAAATAGCAGGCTATGAGTTTCCTTGGCATGATTTAGAGGCAATGTTGCCTATTGATCTTTGGGCTCGACTAAAGTGTATTTAGCAACGCAAATGAGATATCTCCTGGAGAAATTTCTTGTTTAAATTTTCTACCTTCGCATGCCTAATTCTATATACGACCATCAGGACTGTGGATGGAAAGGATGGGGAGAGATATCCTATGGGGGACGTGAATGTGTTCTGCGTGCTAAAGCTGCTGAGTATCTGGTGATTCAAAAGACATATTTCATATTGTATCACTATAATTTTCTATCTTTGACATTTATTTTTTTATTATTATTTTTTTATGTTGATTCATCTCATATTTTTTAAATGACTATTGGTGCTATGTTTAAGTAATTTAAGAATCAAAACATATCTGGTTAATCACACTTTTCTCATTTATTCTTTCGTAGGTTAGATCATGGATGGAAGAAGTATTAAAGGGCGTTAATCAGCATATAGTTTCTTATATAATTGGACTTGACAGCCTCAAAGCATCCAGAAATAGTAGCAATATCGTTGAAGATATTAGGTTTCGGATGGATGGATTATTCGAGCTGAAGGAACATGCTCTCCTGTTTATTAGAGAATTTACAGCTCTATACACAAATGGGCCAGCTGGTGGCGGCGGCATCAGGTTGGCACTCATAATTGCCCTTTGTTTTAACATCGATTTAAAGTTTGTTTGTATTAGTTATTTGCCTCATATTCACGATTGTTTTAAGTTTGTTTATATTAGTTATTTGCTTCATATTCACGATTGTTTTTATTATCTGTTCTTCGGTACTATGTATAAACTTTTTATCATGAAGTGTATAGCTTTATGTTGAAGTCAGAGTTTTTTTACATGATTGTGAACTGATCAAACTCACCTCGAAAATACCATCGGGTAAACTAGAACAATCACGCCAACTGAATGCGAAATATGCACAGACAACTATGTTCATTTACATAGTTTTACAAATATTCAAACCATTTATATTAACCAGGACGATTAGATTTTGTAAATACGACTCAAAGTTGGACAGTTGCTTTTGTTTGTATTTCTTTAAACTTTAATCGAGAACTTAACAGCTTATTTTGCTTAAATTACCCATCTGCTCAACCTTAAATATGTTCATTGATGTACATGCATAATAATCTGTTACAAGATAGGAAGCATAGAACTTTTGGAAACTTGTGGGCTTGAGATATTATTCACTCCTTTTCGTCATCTTCATCGTTCTGTTTCGTCTTTGTGCTAACACTGCATTTTTCATGACATGATTTTGTCCTACTTTGAATTGCAGCACTGGATACAAGAAAGAAATTGTGCTCGAAAAACAATTGGTACTTCTAGTTCTCTCCCCTCTTTCAAAGTACATATCTGGATTTGCATTTCAATCTATACGTCTGACTTCTGAGTTATGTTGGATAGCCTGTTGATGACCATTCTCATTGTCATTTGTTAATTTATGCTAGCGACAATTTGTTTGAATCAAGCTTGGCTCACCCTTAACTAAGCATTCATTAGTAACCTTTCTTAAAAGTTTGGAGGTTCGAATCTTTAAATTTGAATTGTAGCGTAGTACTCTAAAGAAAAAGGCAAAGCACGCCTCTCTCTCTTTTAGTCACACGATGAGCTCTTCCATCCTTAACTATTCACTGTGTTCTTCACTTGTTTCTCTTATGACATGTTGAAGATTTTCAGTGTGGACTTATTGGTAAAAAGACAATCTTTCGGAACTCATAATTTTCTTCTGGTTTTAATTAGGTTGGGCGTGAACATATTTTTTGGCAAACTGGAGTGAAGTTCACTAATGCAGTAAAATTAGACAGTCAATCAACAGACCTTCAAATGAAACAAGAGGAGACGCAGTCTTTGCCTCGAGTAACATTGCCACACCCAATACCGACTCATGCAGACAACCCTTGTACAGGCTCCTCCCCACCAGAAACTGGTCATTCCCCTGCTCCATCTGGCCAGGAGATTGCTCTTTACAATGTGGCCCATAGCAGAGCTGGAGACAAAGGGAATGACTTGAATTTCTCTGTCATTCCTCATTGTCCTTCAGATTTCGATAGGTTGAAGACGATCATCACGCCCGAATGGGTGAAGAGAGTCCTCTCAGTGCTGCTAAATTCAACTTCATTTCCCGACTCAGACGCTGACAATAAGAGAGACAAGTGGATAGACGAACATGTGAAGGTCGAAATATACGAAGTTAGTGGTATCCATTCTTTGAACGTTCTCGTTCGTAACGTTCTAGATGGCGGTGTAAACTGCTCTCGGAGAATCGATCGCCATGGAAAGACCATATCGGATCTCATCTTGAGCCAGCAAGTTGTTTTACCACCAATTCATGAAGCATAAGTTTCTTCTAGACATTAAAGTATCTTGCTTGGCTTCTGTTATTGGCAGCCATTGTTGCTTCTCAAAACTCTTAACTGGTACCGTGATGTTGTTTTACTCTTCCTTCTTTGAATTCCCAAAGTTTCTGCAATAGTTTCGTTTATTGTCACACTCATCTTGTAGATTCAGATATAACCATAAGTTTTATTTCAGTTCAATGATTTTAATTTAGGATTTATTCTTTATTGATACAATGTTTAAATGTTGCTCAATTTTATTTATTTATCTTTATTTATATTTTATTTTAATTTAGGATTTCTTCTTTATTGAAGTCATTTCAAATCATCGTTGAAGTTCAAATACCAAATTATTTGAGCAGGTGCATTTTTTGTTCATTTAGTCCTTGTATTTTTTAAACGTCTATTTTAGTCATCTACTTTTAACATAACACTTCACTCGATAAATTTTTTAAAATGTAGCTTTCAATTTGTATTAAATGGTTTTCAATGTGTATAAAGTTTGTACTAAAATTTTTTGAATAAGGATCAAATTGATCACAAAAATAGACATTTGAAAGTACAGTACTAAAATAATAAAAAAATAAAAAAATGGAACGTATATGAATATTTTGAAAGTATCAAAACCAAAGTCATGAAGAGAATAGTTATAAACCTCAGTTCAAATATACAATCATTTAAAATATATAAATGGTTAAATTTAAATTTTATAAATGGTTAAATGCAATATTGTCGATTTTGTTACAAATAAATACTCATTTTATGTAGAACAATTCAAACTAAAATTGCCAATCAATCAAAATGTCAATATATATATATTTTGGATAGAGCCAGTAAGTTTAATTTTCGGACTTTAAAATTATATTTATATTATGAAGCTTGAAATTGTCATTTGCCAAATCTCAATCCAAATTAAACATTTAATTAAAAACACAATTGCTAATCTCCATTATTCTCCGCCACAAAATTGGTTCTCAGTTCTCACCTTCCTCCATATTCGGGTGTGGAGACCCGTCGTTTAAGCGATGCTAAAAACCAGCGTACGCTGTCCCGTCCAACGAACGAACACAGCGGCGAACCAGTGGAAGCCTTCCACTCTCAGATGATCGAATTCGTTCGAAATGGTCAAAGGATCCCCCCTTCGATCGTGTCCGGAATTGGAGCAGATCCAACAAGTGAATCACAGTTCTTCTCTGCCTCATTTGGATTCTGAGGCCAAAATCCGACATTATCTGATGTATAAATTCGGTTTTTCAGTTGATGATCCAAAGCTTCATTCCGTCCCGTCGCATTCGATTTTTGTCTGAAAGACGAGGCTTCGGACGACTTGGGGTTTTCGTTGCCCTAGTTTCTTTTCAGATTTCTGAAGGGTTTCTTTTTTTCCCGCAAGTTTTTGCGTCTCGGATCGAGTCCATCTCGTAAATTTCTTGAAAATGGCCTTCACAGGAACGCTGGATAAATGCAAGGCTTGTGATAAGACTGTTTATGTGGTTGATTTGCTCTCTCTTGAAGGGAATCCTTACCATAAGTCTTGCTTCAAATGCAGCCACTGCAAAGGCACCCTTTCGGTACGTCTCTCTTTTTTAAAAATTTCAGATGTCTCTTTCGTATGAGCATTCGATATGGCGGATTTTATCCGAATTGTGTATGACAGATGAGCAGCTACTCGTGGATGGATGGTGTCCTGTATTGCAAGCCTCATTTCGAGCAACTCTTCAAGGAATCTGGAAACTTCAGCAAGAATTTTCATGCTTGTAAAATGCCTCTTTCCATCTCTCCTTATTCTCTCTTTTTGTTCGTTCCTTTTGCAATTTCATATCTTCCTGACATTCTCTCATTTCCATGGTATTGAATGGCAACAGCCAAGCCTTCAGAGAAGCAGAATGATCTGGTATGCTCCCCCCTTCTTTTCATTTTTGTCATAGCCTTAGAAAGCTGATCTCCATGCTTTCAAAAAACCTTTTAAAATCATAAAAGGGTGTGTTTGACCCCGACTAGGCAGCCAAATTGACAAGGCTTAGGGTCTCTTGCTGGCTTAAAGGTCTCAAGTTTGAACCTTCTGATGAGCTTAATACAAAAAATCTTGATGGCCCAAACCTTGATGTCTACCGGGTTTGGGCCTTGGGGCGAGTGCGGGTGCCCCTGATACAGGGAGCAAAGCTCCGACCCCAGTTCTCCAAAAGAGAAAAAAAAATCATAATATGGTGTGTCCAATTCGGTTTGTTTGGTGAAAAGGAACTGGCCTATGAATTATGGTTGTACCCGTTTGATGATAATTATGTTTCTGTTTTTATGCTTTGCTTTTGAATCTAGTGCTGATTTGATGTGTTATTAGAGCAGGAGGTTCTAAGTTTTAATCTCTGTAATGCTATTTTCTCCTCAAGGCCTTGTGAATCGAACACAACTTTAGAAATTTCAACCATGTGCTCTCCAATGAAATTGCTATAGCTTTTAAATAGCATTAAAACTTTCGAAAATTTTCACAGACAAGGGCTCCCAGCAAACTCTCCTCCATGTTCTCTGGAACTCAAGACAAATGTTCTGTCTGCTCGAAAACGGTTTATCCATTGGAGAAGGTTTGTAGTTCATTTTTTTGTACTATACATTGTTACTGAATTGTTCCCTTGTTGAAACCTAAGGAAGAAATATATACAAACACACGTACACACATATATAGCGAAAAATTGGAAGTGAAACTGTCTTGTTTTTGTTTTTGTTTATGGTTCCTAATTAGGTGACTCTGGAGGGGGAATGCTACCATAAGACATGCTTTAGATGTGCTCATGGTGGCTGCAATTTGACTCACTCTAATGCTGCTGCTCTTGATGGAGTGTTGTACTGTAAGCACCATTTTGCTCAGCTCTTCATGGTGAAAGGAAACTACAACCATGTCCTTCAAGCTGCTGCAAACAAGAAAGCCTCCACACCACCTCCTGAACCAGCGGATGATGAAGCCGAGCCTCAGGCACAGTCCGAGGACCATGACGTAGAGCAGTCTTAAAATGCAGCTTCTGCGCTCCCCACTTTTTGAGAATTCTTCTTTGTTTTCTTCTTCATTATTTTCTCCAAAAATTGTTTTCTGCTTGGAGAGAGAACCCATTTGTTTATGTTCAAATTCAGATTGACTTCAGATTTATAAGGTAATTGAAGACACCATTTGTCAGCCAGAGAAACAGAGCTTACAAAGAATTGTACCATAGAGTCTGTTAGTGAGATGAGAAGCTGGAATAAAGCAGATCAGCTACAATTCCAAATATCACCAAGGAAATTTTGTTTTTCAATGAAAATTATACATTTGATTCTGTTGTTCCAAATATGATTCGCCTTGTTTCATTTCTGTCTCGAAAATAGTTTATAATGGTCCCTGAATTTACTATGTCATTGATGATGTTTCGAAACGAGACAGGACGAGTTCGAGCTCAGAGTTCGGTTCCTATTGTCGACGTTGTAGAGGTCTGTACTTGTAATCTCTTACTCCATTTGCCATGTTTATGTTCTTGTAGAAAGCTCCATTGCCAACTTGCCATGAATTGTGCCATAAAGTTAGTATAATATCTCAGTATATTCTCAAACAATATTCTAATGAAGCAAATATGTCCCACAAGCATTATTGGCTTGGCTCTTCTTTTATGTCGTGTTATATCTCAATAGATTTTTGGACTTGTCGATGACTGTGATCGGGTTGCAATCTTTTCAAATGGAATTCATACCATAGAAAAACAGAACCTATCAAAATGGAGTCAAATTCAATTGACTTGATATAGATATATTACTGTTTTCCATAGGCGTCTTACTTTTCACGATACATCTTTAGAAAATTTAAGAATTTTTCGTGATCCTCGAATAATTAATATTTAATTGGAAATTTTCAAATAATGATAACAATAAATGGGGAATGCAGTGCACCTGATCGCCACGGAATTTCATGCTACGATCTATATAATTAAATGTCTAAATATTCTTTTCATCATCATACGTTTTCGTCCTCCAAATTTATTGGTCCCTATGATTTTAAGAAATTACTATTTTAGTATTTTTTTCTTCTTAATTTTCATTTGTATTATCATATATTTTGATAATAATTTTAACATCATACTTGGTAACTCTATTGAAATGTAGTGAAAAATTAATATTCAAATATTGTTATTGTATATAAAATTATGTTAAAATTTTACGAATAAGAATCAAATGGATCACTTTTCAAAAATACACAAACAATATAATAATATTTAAACTTCAAACTCCATGACGGCCATTGTTTTTGGAATTAATTCCTATGTATTTTACAGTACAAAATGTTGTAAGGTTAGATAGCGGTTCATGAGAATAGTCGAGCTGCGCATAAACTGACTTGGACACTTGCGGATATTAAAAAAGAAAAGAAAAACCGTGATTAGACCAAGGTTTTAAATGTCGATGTAGATGGAAATATCGAAGTCTCAATTTCATGGAAATATCGATAATAAGTCGATGTTGATAGATACTTCTGTAAAAGTTATAGAAATTAAGAAATTGTAAAACATATTTAAATTAACAAATAAATATTTTCATATTTCTAAATATGTCAAAAAATAATTAATATTAATATTATGTGTATATTAGTGACATTTCGTTAATATTCTCCATATTTTGTCGATTTTTTTTATATTAGGACAGAAATGTCAATTTATCCTCACATCAATGTCGAATCCATGAAAATAGATATTTAGAACTATTTTTTACGTCGATGGAAATGTCTGACATATCGACAGATAATTAGAACCAAGGATCATGTGGGTCCTTAACTCGTAACTTGTAAGATACTAATTTCCGTGGCGCTGTCGCTGACAGGGGGTCTCGCTCTCAAACCAGTCAGTCTCCTTGTGCTTTTCTTTTTCGTTATATCATACATTTCCCGTGCCGCGCGCGTGCGTTCTTCCATCGCGGGGTTGCATCCACGCGCGCCAAACGCGCGTTGCCAGGTGCCTCTTTCATTCGGAATATCCAATACCCCGCAAACGAATCAACGATGAACCCAACCCATCGCCCAGCGAAAGGCCATTTCCGTAAAATCACGAGAAATATCAAAGAGCCGCTGCTGCTGCTGGCTTTCTATTTTTCTCGGCCAATTTTTCATTTTCCCACCATCCAAACAAAACGCAATTCACTACAAAAGTTTCTCTCTCATTTGTTTGTAATTTCTTCATTTCTTCCTATTTCTCACAATTGCTGCTGCAGTTCCACTCTCTCTCTCTCTCTCCGGCGAGACTGTGATAGCCGGAGCTTCGTCAGACGTCTCACCATTGTTTTCTCAGCCTTCGGCATCGGTTAGCTCACCTTCTGTATTGAAATATAGCTAAATATGTCTGAATTAGTTTGTTTAGGGATACAGACGTTTGGTGAATGTGTGTTACTAGCTCATGTGTGTCTGTGTGCATCGATGGTTCGGTGTTGTGTTGTTTTTCTATTAATCTACTTGCTGCAGTTGGATTTGATTGCATTTCTATGTACTTCAGCATCCGTATCAGCAGTTATATGTGTTCATGATTGATTGATTTGAATTGAATGCACGAGTGACTGACTCAGATGAATGGAACGATGTTCATGTCTATGAGTTAACATGCATGATTATGGTTTTAGGGCTGTAGCGGGACCTGATTGATAGTCTTTGGTCTGTATCTGCATTTCACGAGCAGTGATTGATTTTTTTCTCCAGGTGTTTGACCGGATGTCAATGACGGCTGACTGACTGGCAATCTTGGTACTAGTATGTAATTGAACACTGGGCTTTGGAAAGACCTCTCTAATATTCCTGGAACTATGGATTTATCTTGTAATATTTGGAAACAAAATGTGTTTAGTGAAAGAACGTATTGCAAGACATTGGACCAATTTGGTCATAGCAATGTGCTCAGAAGTAGAATTATTGATGCCAAGTTGATCGGTGGTTCAAGAGTAATGTATAAAGTGCCTAAGAAGAGAAACAGATTTATAGCTTCCAGCAATTCCAATAATTTGAGTCTGGTTTGTGCTAGAAAGTTTGACAGTGTTTTGCAAATTTTTAAGCACAAGAGATTCTTTAACTGTACCAATAAGATCAATGGTCGAAGGATGGGGATGGTTCACTCAGAGTGTCAAGGCAATGATTCTTTAGCATTTATTGATGGAAATGGCAGAAATGTTGAATATGTAGACAATGGTGATGAAAGCTCCAGTTCTGGGCCTACTGATGGTGTAGGGTCAGATGGTTCCAGAGAAGCTGGTGGAGAATTAGAAGCGGCAGAAACGGATGCACCGACTGTGGACGAGCTTAGAGAATTGCTGCAGAAGGCTATGAAAGAACTGGAAGTTGCAAGACTTAATAGTACCATGTTTGAGGAGAAGGCCCAGAAAATATCTGAAGCTGCAATAGCCTTGCAAGATGAAGCAGCCCATGCTTGGAATGATGTGAACTCTACTCTCGATTCTGTACAACAGATAGTGAATGAAGAATATGCTGCCAAAGAAGCTGTTCAAAAAGCTACCATGGCTCTTTCATTAGCAGAGGCAAGGCTTCAGGTGGCAATAGAGTCATTGGAGCAGGAAAAAGGAGGAAATGATTCTCCGGAAACTGCAATAGTTAGTGAGCGGGAGATTGATTGTAAGGAAGAGGAAGAAGTGTTGTTGATTGCTAAGGAGGATATCAAAGAATGCCGGGAAAATTTGGAAAACTGTGATTCAGAATTGAAGCGTTTACAGAGTATAAAGGAAGAGTTGCAGAAAGAAGTGGATAGGTTGAATGAGTTGGCTGAAACAGCACAGCTAAATGCATTGAAAGCTGAAGAGGATGTGGCAAATATAATGCTTTTGGCCGAGCAGGCTGTTGCTTTTGAACTTGAGGCTGCCCAAAGGGTCAGTGATGCTGAAATAGCATTACAGAAATTGGAGAAGTCTTCATCAAATTCGTTTGTTGATGTTTCGGAAACCACACAGGGGTTAAATGTTATCGAAGAAGTTGTAAATGAGGAAAATAAGGCAGTCATAGGAATTTCTGGTGATATTGCTGTTGAAATGGATAGGGATGTGGCATTTAGTGCTGATTCCTTAGCTGTCAAATCTCTACCGGGTACCTTTTCAGATTCTGAAGATTCGGATCAACCATATTACTTGAGTGATAATGAGAATGGAAAATTGAGTTCAGACTCCTTAAAGGAGGTTGAATCTGGAGCAGAAAAGTCTATTTTGAGTCAAGCAAAAAAGCAGGAAACACAGAAGGATTTGACCAGAGAAGGCTCACCCTTAAATGCCCCCAAGGCTCTATTGAAAAAGTCGTCACGCTTTTTTTCAGCGTCATTTTTCTCTTTTACAGGTGATGGGACAGAGTTCACTCCAGCATCAGTATTCCAGGGTCTCCTGGATTCCACAAAAAAGCAATTGCCGAAGCTAGTTGTTGGATTAGTTCTGTTAGGAACGGGGTACGCCAGAACATATTCTTTATCATTTATGCATTAATTTCTATGAGAGTATGAAGGCTCATAAAGATAGTTCTTACAAATATATTGCTAATTGACCAGTCTAGCAAGCATATTTCATCTTACTGGCACCAGTATTATCCTTCTCCAGGAATCTTAGAAAGAAGAGATTTTTGCCTCCGGTTTGTATTTCTTACAGTAACAGTAGCTGACATCTCGACCAAAGTAAATAAATAAATGGTAAACTTAAAAAAATTGCTGCCATGTGAAAAGCAAATCAACTTCATAAGCATGAAATGTAGCCACTGGTATATAGTTTTCCTCTATGGACAATACTCTGCACTTTCGTTTTGCTGTTGTGTAGGGAGAAGAGATTGGTTCATATAATCACTAGATGTTGAAATTCATCGCAGGATCACTATCTTTGCTACTCGAGCTGAAAGGAATTATCAGATGTTTCAGCAGCCTGATGTCATCACCACTAGCACTGATGAAGTTTCCTTGAATACAAAACCTTTATTTCAACAATTAAGGAAACTTCCTAAAAGAGTGAAAGAGTTAATTTCCAAGCTTCCCCATCAAGAGGCATGTTCTCGTTGATCCCTTCCAGAGTTGAGTTTTTTTATGGTAACTGTAACTTGTCATTATCCATTCTAAAACTTCAGGTGAATGAAGAGGAGGCTTCTCTCTTAGACATGCTATGGCTGTTGCTTGCTAGTGTTATATTTGTGCCAACATTCCAGAAACTTCCTGGAGGTGAAGATGCTCTTTGAATAGATCTGAGTTTCCTACCTGCCTTTCCTGCTATTTTCTTTCTAAATTATTTCTTAATGTCATTAGGTTGATTGCTTCGAAGTTTTAAGTTTTATGAATACCAATGTCAC